GAATGACAGAACAAAATGGTCTCCAAATTTGGTTTGTAGCATTTACCTCCTAAGATGTGAAACCTTTTATATGTTTTCAAGAAACCAGATTCTGACTTTTAAAATCAATGGTCAATGGTTAACTGAAGAGTTTCCTTCTCTTAGATAACACTAGGAACCGATGATTTTCAAGCAATGGCAGTTCTTATTTTTCTTCCCTTAGTATGAAAAGTTTAGTTATAAGGAACTTCAAATAACATACCAAAGAAAGCTATAAATTACTATAAGAATCAAATATATACTAAAAGACACGAGTGAAGTTTCAAAGGGTAAATAAAATATTTTATAAAATCTAAATAATGTAATAAAAATTAATTTATTGGACTAATTTACTTATTAAGCTTTTGAAAAAAATTAATTTCAAGTTTTGGTAAGCAAAAAGTAAAATTACCTTACCAGTCTTCACTAGGTTGGAAACTCTGGGAATGGTTAAAGTAGGCAAAAGTAACAATCAAAAGTGGTTTCTGCCTTCTACTGCAATTTTAGGTAAATGATGCATGTCATGGTAACCTATACACTTACTAGAAAACAGAGGTATCGGGGAGGAGGTTATACACATTTACCCATGCTTTAGTTATTCAGGGGCTTATTTTAAATCTAATTTGAACTTTCCTGATACTAAGTGCTAACATACTTTGCGGTTTACTATTGTGTGATTTTCATTAAGTCCTGTAAGGAATAGAGAGCATGTTATTATTTCCATGCTTTTTTATTCTAAGACAAAAAAGAACTTACTAGAAAGGAAATGATATTTATAAAATTCATATAAAAATGAAATTAGGAAATGATTTACATTATGAAAAGCATTCACCTTAGGTTCAATACTTAATACATGACAGGGAGATTTATGAATAGAGGAAGCTAAAAATTTAAAGAATTGTCAATTATCAGAAATGTAGCATATCCTAAAAATATCTAAGGTTGGAAATGTCAACAATTTAAAAAGAGGCTGTTTTTCCAGTAAGAATAGTTTTTAAAAATTTTATTTTTAAATTTATTTTATGTATTTTAAGAGTTTATTTATTCATTTGAGAGAGAGACAAAGAGAGAGCACGAGCAGGGGGAGGCAGAGGCAGGAGGAGAAAAAGACTCCCTGCTGAGCTGGGAGTCGACATGGGGCTTGATCCCAGAACCTGGAGATCATGACCTAAGCCAAAGTCAGAAGCTTAACCATCTGAGCCACCCAGGTGCCCCTAAAAATTTTGAGAAAAGTAGACTGTCAACAAATGATAACCCTAAATAACAATCACTGACTAAAAATTTAATATCTATTACATATAACCCAAAATGCCAGCTTAGACAACATAAATTTTACTACATTGAAATCCCTCAAGAAATCTATTCATGCAATGATCTAACTGAAATAAATATAATGGATTAGTCTTTAATGTATTAAAAGGATATTAAAATAGTAATATACTTTTCTTTCATTCTTTCTTTTCTTTTCTTTTTTTTTTTTTTAAGATTTTATTTATTTATTTGACAGAGATACAGCGAGAGAGGGAACACAAGCAGGGGAAGTGGGAGAGAGAGAAACAGGCTTCCTGACAAGGAGGGAGCCCGATGTGGGGCTCGATCCCAGGACCCTGGGATCACGACCTGAGCCCAAGGCAGACGCTTAACGACTGAGCCACCCAGGCACCCCAATAATATACTTTTCTATATAGATATGCTTTGGACAGAATTTTACAGCTATTACTGAAGACTCTTAAGGAAAGTAAATAAATTACATCTGTCACCACCCTGAACCAAAGGAAGTATTTATATACTATCAAAATTACTTACATACTATCACTTAAATATATATATTTATATATTACATATAATATACATTTACTATATATAGTATAGTTATATATTATAGCTTATATTGTGTTGAGTTCACATTATCTATCATGTACTTTATGATTGGTGTGGTCTTACAGTGAACAGGAATTTTTTAAGATTTTTCTTAAACATGCAAACAAAGTAAACTATAAAGAAGGCAAAGTTTCCTGTAGTTAGTTCTGATGGGAAAATCTGAAAGACTGATGTGCCACTCAGAGATTGTGACTGGAGTGCAAATTCCATAGACGAAATGCATGCAGAACATCCATTTGTAGTGTGAAAATAGCCTAAAATACAATTATTTTGCCGAGATGCAGAAATCTACCAGATACATTATTTTTTATTACTAGCAAACACCTTTAATCTATTATTTTTTTAAACATACTGAAATAAAATAGTAATGAAAACAAGCATACTGTAAAGTTACATGAGAACTTTCAAACACATATCTATTCATATGAAAAGCTAAATTTATTTCATAGTTTGCTTATAAAAGAGTTAACATCCAAGACAAAGTTGGAATTTTGTGACCTAGCCAATCTGGAGAATTTTTGGAATTAGAATTGCTAATTACAAAACTCTTCAAACATACATTCTTTATACAAAAATAGTTAAGGAACTGGTAACTAGCACAAAATGTTCACTGTAGTTAGCTCTCACAGTTCAAAGATCAACAAGGTGATGTCTGGAGATAGTTCTGTCCTTAAAGTTCAAATAATGGTCTAAAATAGGTTATTTTAAAAATTGGGATCATGACAAGACAAATCAATACATAGCCATTTCATTGCCCCAAACTTTATCAGAGACTATTTATTTGAACCAGTATTTCTTTCCTGTTAAAAAAGGAATTTGATATCAACTTGAATCGAGACTCTATTAAAATTATTTACAATTTCATTCAGGCTGCAAGTCTGTTTGGTGTTCAGCAAAGTAATCTTTCAGAAGGGGTGACTGGTGCAAACAAATGAAGTCAAGGACATCCACATATAAAGTTAGATACTGCTATCATTCAAGCATAGTTCTTGGAGTAATTCAGCAAAATTGCTAGCTATGGCATTTCTGAGTTTCTAAAAATTTTTAATTTCTGGCTTGCTTTAGAAACACAGGCATAATTTCAAATTAGCTTTAAATCAAGTTTACTTTGCAAACTTAGTTTTTTGTTAAGTCAAATATTTAAATCTGTACTGTTTTTATTTCTGTGTAAAACGAGTGAGTATGGGGATTTTATTGCCAGTTTTGGAAGAACACACTCAGTTTCAGTGATTAGTGTGATTAGTCTACCTGGTCTTTAAAGAATCATAGTTTGCCTTAAAAATCATTGTGAAAATAAACATGAAGTCTTACGGACATTAAGATACTTAACAGCATAATAAGGGAGACTCCCTTGAAATATACTGTGTATCTTACTAGATGTTGCCTTTTAGAGAAAACACTAGCATTTAGACAAATGGATTCACAAACTGATAAAAATTATCACAATAAAAATATTTATAGTCATACATTTGGTAACGAATATATTTATTTTACTGTATTTCAAAGCAAATGAGAGCCATAACAGTTCCTTTAAACTGTCTCTGAAATATATTCGTTTTAGAGCAACAATCTTTTTTTAGGAAAAGTAAATTAACTAGGTAATTTATATAAATTATATTCCTTAAATAACATAGTACATTTTAATGAATACATTCTTTCTCATTTCCTTTTGCTTGGATACAGAATATATAAGTGCTTCAAAATGAAAATAAATACACATAGCCAGAAACAAAACAAAAACAAATATGCAAAAACATTTTATTTATAATAGATCAACATTTTTGACACGAAAGGTAGCCACTTTCAATTTCTCAGGAATGCCTAGAATCCAACAGTTTCTGAAAGACTAGTTAATTTTAACAATTGTGTCACTACAGGTAAAAGAAATAATTTCAGAATGAACTTTTTAAATGGCTTTGTTGATGGCAACTCATTTTATAAGCTTGACTGTGTGGTAATCTATCTTTTCCAGAAGTGATTGTAATCCAGCTATGTTCCAAGTGTATTAAAACAGTTTATACAACAAACACGAGAATCGCCTATATGCATCCACTGTGCTCAAACCAGAATTCTCTTTACCAAAATATTCATTTTTCAAAAAGGCCTCACATTACTCCCTCAAACCAATCATCCCCTTCTATGTCCAGTCCCACTCTTTTCTACTTCAAGTCGCATTACTGCAGAGACAACTGTCTAATTCCAGTGGAGCTGTACACTGACTTAAGACTCTATGTAATATATATCAAACACAAGAATAGTCCCTGACTGTAAGGGACAAGGTGTTAACTAACCAACAGTAATTTAGCTAATGTCAGTTTTAGTTTAGAGGGAAATAAGCAGCCCCCAAATGTCCTTAACTTTTCGGTACTTCTCTGTAACACACAGAATGAAAAGATAATCTCTGAAATCAAAATCATTAGAATATATTTTAAATAAAATATTTCATATAAGTCAGTGTTAAATTTCAAATTCAAACCATATTTTCCTGTGTACTTAAATTTGGGGGAAGAATTTCACAATTATTAGCTCTTCTTACCTACGTTTACTTTTGAGTATTAAAATCTACTACATATCAGTTTTCAAAATTCACCTTGGTTACTACCCCCCGTGTTTATGTGCTGTCTTTCCTCAGCTAAGTCCATTATACGCATGTAAGTGCTGGGGAGGTTTGAATAGCACTTAAAGAATATTCATGAGAGCTCTGAAATGTGGAAGGTTTCATTATAATCTACTTACTGTAGGATCTGTAACTCAAATTCATCACAGCATTATAAAATACTGTGTGAACGAAATGCACACAATTCCTACAGACACAAAAACTGAAGTCCAAAAGGCACAGAGTAATGCTGGTGGCTCTTTCTAGTCAGTTAAGAAACAATAAAAAGTCTGCATTATTCTTTCATAATTTAAATACTTAAGTAATCTCCACTTTTATTACTTTATAACAATGACTTCAAATTTACATTATTTTAAGTACCATTGTAATAGCTTAGTGTATAATACAGATATTTGCTAATATCCCATCCAAAAATTAAAAAAAAAACAACTCTTCACTATATATATATATATGTGTGTGTGTGTGTGTGTGTGTGTGTGTGTGTAAAAAAAAAATTATTCCGAAAGACAAGAACATAGAAGAGGGACTTGGTACAGACTATAAACCCAATTTTCTATCACCACAGTTATAACTCCAAAATTAACAGATATACAGCAATAATCAAAAGCAGTGCAAATATCTTTGGAGGTTAGGATAAAATTATAATGCAAGAACATACAACAAGGAAATAAAAAAGGCAAGTACTTCAAGTACAAGGAAGCAGTCTGCTTGAGTCCATCTTAGTGTTTACTGGGGCTTCCTTCCGGCTTTTACTTCTTTCTCTGAAACACATTGGCCAACATGGCACCTGATGTTGTCAACTGGCCCATTTTGTTCAAGAACTTGGTCTTCGTATCTTCACTCACCAAGCTTGCAGCAATTGACATTGAGCTAGGAAATAAATTTTAAAGTTCAAGTAAAGCAGTTAAAAAACTAGAATATCCATTTTTTTCATTTCTTCAGTAGTGATAATGTTAATAAATACCTTCTGAGCCGGTATCACAAAGGGGAAGCTAGTATTTACAGACAGAAGTTTCTATGGACCTACTAGGTTAGGAGCTTCACGTTCGTTGTGTAATTAAAGGAAACAGTAGGGTGTAGAGGTTAGAAGCAAGTCTGTAGTGAGACTGAATCTTGGCTCTGTCATTTGGCAGCTTTGTGACCCTGGGCAAGTTATCTGATCTCATCTGTAAAGTAATTCTCATCTGTAAAATGGAGATAAATCTATTACCTACCTCACAGATCTATTAAGAATTATAAAGTGTACATAGTGCTTATTAGTAGTGCCAGGCACGTAATAACATGCTGTAACTATGAGTAGTTACTCTTCTTCTCATCACCATCACTTCATTTAATTCTTATAGCAACCCTGGAAGATAGATACTATCCCTATTTTCACAAGTGAGTATATTAAATCACACTGAGGTTTTATAAACTGTTGTGATAACAATCCTATGACATATTACTTTTGGGAGGACAGGGCACAATGTCCTCAACTGCCACTTGCATTAGTTTCAATCAACAATTTAAAATCCATTTCTTCTTTCTTTTTGAACAACCTTTTGTGTAGGGAGTAAACACATCTAAATAACTACTAAAGATTGCTAATTTATCATAATACCAAACAGAACACTGATCAAGTGCAATTTTCCAGTAATCCAACAATAAACCCAGTTTGCTGGCCCTATAGCCTTGGCCAATATGCTTTAGATTACTCTGATTCAATTTCTTAAACTGAAAAATACAGATTGCGATTACTGCTGCAATCTGTATTTGCAGATTGCATTTGCAGGACCAAAGGAGAGAATATGTTTGACCATGTCAAGGGCAGTGAACAGAGAGGTGCAGGAGCCCGGGACCTGTCCAGTGAAACTGCAGATGAAGTATGTGCCGCCATCAAGCGCTTCTGGTTTTCTTAGTCCTTAAAGGTGTGCGCTGTGAATTACTAAGTTAAATGCCAGATCATGACTCCCATCTTTAAAATCTCTTCTCCCCACAGCTCTTCTGCCAGTACACAACCTGGCCTCTCCCTTGTCTCCTGGGCATTCTCTTCCCACAAAGTAATCCTCCATAAGTTTCGGCATTTGGCTCCTGGTTCTTCAATTACAAAACTCACTATTGAAACTTTCTCTTGGAAGTTTCAAGTATCATCTCCATAAGGAGTTTGGAAAAAGTATCCTATTACTGTTATTTGTTAGATCAGCTAACATGAAGCTTTTTTACCTCCAAACTTTAGAAATGATCCACTGTTTTTATTTCCTTATTTGTTAGTGGTTTTAACATTTTCCTTTCCTCCCAACAGCGAATATAATGGCTCCCTGTCTTCTATTTAAAACACATTACTAGGAGTGCCTGGCTGGCTCAGTCAGAAGAGCATGTGACTCTTGGTCTTGGGGTCATGAGTTGGAGCCTCACACTGGGTGTAGAGATTAAATAAATTAAACTTAAAAAAAATAAGAAAAGCAATCATCAAATCCTCTGATTTTATTCTATGAAACATCTATCATTTATTTTTATTTCCACTGACAATACCTTCCAACTGAATTATTCCAAGTCTTAGATCTGGTCTTCTTCCATGATCAGATTAACTTCTGAAATAATCACTTCTTCATATCCTATCCCTTCTCACAAATCTTCAATGGCTACTTACTACCTACAAGATAAGTTGTGCTTGGCATTCAAGAAACACAGCAATCTATTTTTGTGTGTGTGTGTGTGTGTGTGTGTGTGTTTAACCAACAATTAAGCTCAATTTCTAGATCCCCCTGCATCAAGCCTGCTGAGTTTGTGTTCGAAACATTTTTAACTTATCTCTTCCTTTCTATCTGGCTAAACAATCTTTAAATCCCAGTTCAAGTCCTAGATTTTCTCTAATGCCTTTTCTTAATGTACCAAGTTTACAGTTTTGTTTTCTTTCTGTAGAACAATACTGTAAGCTGAAAGGTAAGTATGATTTTAGTTTGCATTGAGAAAAATAGGATGCATGGGTCAGATAATACTTGAGTATTATCAAGTTTTTTTTTTTTTTTTTTTTTAAGATTTTATTTATTTATTTGACAGAGAGAGACACAGCAAGAGAAGGAACACAAGCAGGGGGAGTGGGAGAGCGAGAAGCAGCCTTCCCGCTGAGCAGGGAGTCTGATGAGGGACTACATCCCAAGACCCTGGGATCATGATCTGAGCCGAAGGCAACCGCTTAATGACTGAGCCACCCAGGCGCCCCGAGTATTATCAAGTTTTAATGATAGTCTAACCAGAGGGCAACAAAGATGTTAAAGCGTCTGGGACGTTCAGTCTGGAGAAGAGTAGATTCAGAAGACTTAACAGATACCAATGTTACATGTAAAAAATTAGATATAAATATAAATCTGCATAAGTGTATATATTTGTATAGCTCTACTAATATACATCACAGTCACCTGGAGAAGTACTGAAAATACAGATGTCTTGTCCTAACCCCAGTTATTCTGATTCTTTCCATATGGTATAAAGGATACGGGCATCTACTTTACACAAAGCTTTCCAACAGAGAACCATTACATTACAGCATTTTTTTCTGAAAAGAAAGTTTACATTTTTATCAGTTTTACAAAGGGGTCTGTAACAACCCCCCATCTCTCTGCCCGATGATGAAACCTATTTTAGAGAGGAAACGTAATAGGAAGGGAGACTAACTCAGGATAAGAGTAATCTGTAAAAAATAGAGTTGTTAAAAAAGAAATGGGCTGCCTTGTAAGGTAATATTGTCTCTTTCCTGCAAGTTTTCAAGGAAATCTCAGATCTTTCTTTTGCAACTCATATCAAACCAGTTGCCGTTTCTTATTCTGCGTCTGCAGAACCTCTTATACCTAACTGATCTTCAAAACTATTTATATCCTAGAATGTTTCTCTCTCCCTCCATACCATTCCATTTTGCAAATTAATGTCGAAAGGACTTGGGAAGTCAACTTGAGAAGCCTTACAATGGCCAAAGATGGGATAATTTGGACATCAAAAGATACTAAGTGCAATACACTGAATTGTATCAGGTATTTGAAAATAAATGAGTTTATGATACTTGAGCAAAAAAAAACCACCTAACTAGTCACCATCAGAAGATGAATCAATTCATTATTTTAGAAAACTGGTAAGTAAAGAGAAAGAACTGAACATTTACCTTGCCTTTACCATAAAAAACTGTATCACTGGGTAATCGTAGTACATATAGTACATATGGGGGAAGGTTTCTTCCCTGAAGTATTCTAGCTCACAAATGAAGAAGCAATGACAGAATTAGAGTAATGTATTTAGTAATAGTTAACCAATTAGTACAGCCAGGTACTGATCATTAACAGATGCTAATACCACTGAAACAGAGAGAGAAGTAGACACTGTCTCCCTCACGATGAAAACACACCTCCTCCCAAGAAGCAGTCTTGCAAAATAAAGAAACATGCCCTGAATATGGTGAAGCCTCTAGATCTAGACCCAACCACCAAATTTATTTAGGAAATACAGAGGAACATGTTAACACAACAAGAGGGAAATGCAATCGGCCAAATTCAGACTGTGGGGACCTCTATAGAACAAAGACTCAATTTCTTCAATAAGTACATGAAGAAAAAAACGAAATAGAAGGGGAACCTATTGATTAAAAGAGACTGAAGAGACATGTCAATTAGTTGCAATGAATGGAATTCTGGATCCTGACTCAAAGAAACAGACTGTAAAGAAAAAAAACAACAAATTGCTAATGACGTTTATAAAACAATGAGAAATTTGAACACAGGCCAGATAACTGATAATATTAAGAAGTAGTTATTTTGGTTTTAATGACATTATGTTTATGTTTTAAAAAATAGCATTGGTCTTTCAGAAATGCATACCGGAATATAGGAGCGGGATGGATGAAATAAAATTGACCATGAGTTGATAATTACTGAAGCTGAGGGATGAGTACATGGGAATTCACTACATAATTTATTCTGTGCTTATTTGAAATTACCTAAAAGTTTAAAAAAATAATATAGAAGATTTGAATAATGGAAAATAGGATTATAAAAATAAACTTTTTTTAAAGGACGTTCATATAACTGAAACAATCTTGGGAAGTTATGAAGGTATTTTTCTCTTTCTTAATTCCTGCATGCTAATTAATGAAATTTCATTTAGAATGCATTTCACATATACTTCTTCTTAATTTTGTACCCAAACTTTTTACATTTTCAACTGATAAGGCACCAGATAATCTTAACACTAAATGTATGACAAATGAACAGAAGCATTTGCTTTGGCATTAATTTTATGGATTATGTGTTTGGAACTGAAGTCTATCGAAGTACTTTTACTCTCCATGGCTACAATGGTAGGAAAGTTCTAACATCCCAGGAGGCTCAAGAAAGGGCTCTGACACACAGTAAGAAGTAAAAAACTGTATGTGTATGTGTGTGTGGGAGAAGTTGGGGGTGTGAAGAGGTAAGTGTGTGTCTGGGTACCTAGCCTGATAGGATGGCACACTTATTCCTAGTAGTCACCTTTATAAAGGAAAAACCTTTGAGCTTTTTATGCCTAACAGAGTCCATTTAAGATTAACTGCTCAAGGTTACATCAATAAGATGTAAGAGTACACACAGTCTATCTGTAAATTACTTCCTCTCCTGAATGCCCACCTTTACTCTTCCACCTCTATGCTTGTATTTTAACTTCAATGAATCTTCGAATTCAAGTTAGTTTGGTTAGAACATTCACAAGTTTACAATCCTTTACGCAGTGAATCAAGTTACACCTTATAATTCTTATCATAAATTTCTAAGAAACTATTTTGACCAGTGATTCCTAAATCTGACTACCTATCCCAATGTCTTTAGCTTTTAAACATACAGATCCCTAGGCTGAATCAGACTGTTGAGAGGATGGCACCGAGCACGGGGTAGAGATGTAAATTTTAAATTCCCCAGATAATTCTGATACATGGTTTATAAACTAGCATTTGAGAACCACTGATTTAAATAATTTTCTTACCTTCCAAAAGTGACTAAAGAGTAACACAAAATAAAACACCATACCCATCTATAGAAAATTTAGATAGAGAAATTAAGGTCAATATAAAGTCTTAAAAAGAAAATTAATGTCTTACCCTTGAGGCTCTTGGACGGTCTTGTTCTCTACTTTTTGTTCACACTCTTTTATCATGGAACTTAAAATGACCTGATTTAAAAAAAATGACTTTAGTGAAATACTATTATTTAATCTAAACTTTTTAATTTAATTTTTAGTATTACTACAAACTAGTGTTAATTAAAAGTATCAAGTTTTAGCAGTCACTTTGTTAAAGAAATTCACATTAGATTGCTACATTACGTGCAGAAATAGATTTAAAAGACCTTAATCAGGGGCGTCTGGGTGGATCAGTGGGTTAAGCCTCTGCCTCTGGTTCATTTATGATCTCAGGGTCCTGGGATCGAGTCCCGCATCAGGCTCTCTGCTCAGCAGGGAGCCTGCTTCCCCCCTTTTTCTGCCTGCCTCTTTACTTGTGATCTCTCTCTCTCTCTAACAAATAAAATCTTTTAAAAAAAAAAAGGACCTCAATCATATAACCTAATAACTGATTTTGATTTTCACTAACCTTCCTAACTCTGACTTCAATTCTCCCTTAGTTTTTCCTACCATCTAATGGTAAAAATAAAATTGGTGTACATCTATACATTTAACATATATATATTCCATGATCACACACATTTTTCCCAGTAAAAGCTGCTTTGCTTTCTCCACGTTGCAAATAGCAAGATGCTCTATTTTAATGTCTAAAGCAGAGACCAGGTATAGGTCTGTGGTTACTAAAGTGTAACTGGGAATACAATGGGCACTTAAGAGTTAACATCAGTTTTTCAGGGAGACTGAGTGAGTGATGGAAAGGGTGGAGGGATCTAAGCTGCTCCGCTACGCTGGTAACCACACCAGAAACTGAATGTCTTCCTAAATATTCCTGGCCCATGTTCGGGCATGGAGGTCACTAAACAACGAATATTTACTGTCACCTACTATGTGCCAGGCACTTCTTTAGATACAAAGAATGCACAAACAAAACAGAGAGCATTCCCACCTTATGGAGAGCATTTTCTTGAAAATAAATATAAAAAATAGGTAAGTTATGTAGTATATTAGAAGGTGATAGGGCTTTGGAAAGAGTATTGAATAAAATATAGGGTGCTAGGAGGCCAAGGTGAAGAATGTTACAATTTACATGGAGGTATCTCAAGCAGTCTTCATGGAAATGACATTTAAGGAAAAGCCTGAAGGAGATGACAGAACAAGTGTTTTAGACACCAGGAAAAGGCTGAGCAAAGGCTCCATCTAGGTCAGAGTACGCCTATCACATTCTAGGAAAGGAGGCCAGACTGGTGGATCCAGAGTGAGCAAAGAAGAGGGTAGAAGATGAGCTCTGAGATGTGAAGGGGAGAGAGCCAGATCTTAGATTGCCTTGCAGATTACAGTAAGGACTTTGGTTACAAATGAGACTTTTGTCATATGCATGTTAGATCTAGATTAATCCTTTTTGAATCTTTTCTGATTTTCCACTCTCTCATCTCACAGATTATAGATTTTGTTTTGTTTAGCTAGTTTCTGCTTTATTGTGTTTGGGGGTCGTTTTTTGTACTTTTTTTTCTGCTCCCTGAATTGTCTGTTTCCTCCAGTACCCTCTTTCTTGCATGTATGTTTTCATCTCTGTCTTTGATGTTAGAGGGTTTTTCTCAAATGCTTGGTGGTCCTGGGATGTCCACTAAAGACTGGGGCACTAAAGTGCTGATTACAATTTTTTTCATGCACGAGTAACTTCACTTTAAGGTAAATTGGGCATAAACAAACTTTCTATCTTCTTCCCCTATGGGTATAATCCCGACTACCAGCATTTTTGGACCCAAGAAGGGGAAAGATAACAAAGTTTCCCATCATTCTGCCTTCACTTAATTTCCCCCTTCTCGTTATAGCACTCATTCCTCTTCTCAGCTACATGTGATATAACCCAAGTTCAGAAAGTAAAGCTCCAGAATTCTACCAAAGTCGGAAAGGGAATCTGGGAGTCTGATCCTTTGAACAACTTTTAACCACTCCTACTTTCAGTCCAATCTACCCTAATGGAGTGGTGAAATATGGCTTAAAACATCATTTCTTCTGTCCTGCAGGCTTAGCCTTCATCTTGGATGCAAAAATCCTCAACAAAATGCTAGCAAACCAAATTCAACTTCATATAAAAGGAATTATGCACCATAACTAAGTGGTTATTTGTTGTAAGAATTTGTTGCAGATTTATTGTAAGAATACAAAGGTTGATTTAATGTCCAAGAATCCATTAGTGTAAAACAATGAATCAAGAGATTAAAAGAAACAACCACGTAATCTTCTCAACTAGGGAAGAAAAAAAACATCTGACAATATTCTAGACTCCTTCATGATAAAACATCAACCAGCTGACAATAAAAGGAGCCTCCTCAACCTGACAGAAGACATATATACAAATATACCAAGCAAAGATTGAAAAAACTGCACGGAGAAAAAGGTAATTCCCAATCATAATTTTAATAGGTATTTTAAGAGCTAACAGAAGAAGCAGACCACAAAAAACTGATAAAAACATAGGAGAATTAAATCTCAATTTACCTTATTAAACAAAACCCATGGATCGATTAATAATAGAAATGAGAATCCCATTTGAACTGAATGATAATGAAGATACAATGTAGCAAATGCACAGGATGTGGCTAAAGGAATACACAGAGCCTTAAATTCATGTATCGGAAAAGAAAAGTTTAAAAAGTAAATAATCTAAGCTTCCTCTGTAAAAAGCTGGAAAAACAGAAAACAAAACAAAACAAACCTACCATGATAATGGTTGATAAAACAGGCTGAAAATACAGAATAGGAAATAAATGATAAATGGTTTTGGAGGAAACAAGAAGACAAACAGAATAAAAGAGTTATAAGGAAATGTGAGACAGAAAACGCAAACTTGGCTTCTAAGAAAGTTAATGGTCAGAGATCCAATTGCATTAGCATTTTACAGATTAAAAAGCATTTCATGTACATTAGCTCATGAGATTCTAATTACATTCAGTGAATTGACAGCATCCTATATCCTGTCCTATATCCATCCTATCCCAACTATACAGAATTAAACAGAGGATCGAAGATGTTAATGGAGTTTTTCAAGATCTCCTAACCAGTAAGTAAAGCTGTAAAATGACCTACACTAGATTTAAAAGAATTAAGCACAACGTATCATAATCGTGCCTCACATAAAGAGTGCAAGTCTGTAGAGGAGACAGTAAAACATATGAAGCCGGCACAGATAATCACAGCGGCTTAGTCATCATGGAGGCTTACCTCATGCTCTGGAGAAAGATGTTCCATGTCAGTCCGTAAACATCTGAGACCAGGTAAAAAGTGATTAACCATTAAATCCTCTGAAATGACTTGAGACAGGCAGTTAAGGGAATTAAAAACCAAACGTATGTCCAAAAGAACAACAAAATAATAAAAATGATGCCTAAGGCATGCAGATCACTTAGAGCAAACACATTTCCCTCAAGCATGATTCTCATTTGTTGAGTTAATCACTTATCAAGAGTCAATTGTGTTTAACCCCACAAATCCCTTTATGTCAGTGGTCTTCATTATTGTAACACTACATAATTTAATTACATTATTTAAATGCATGCGGTAAGTGTAAAAATTAAATCGTGTAATTTAGTTGGATGCTTAAATGAGTATGAAAAGTAAGAAAATTAATGTTTCCATGACAACTAAGTTGAAAAGTTTACAAGAACTGGTAAAGGCCAGTTGCTTAAAATGGTGCTATTTAATTATGTCTGGGTGAAATAACTATAAAAGATTAGGAAAAAGATAAAAAAACTAAAAAAGGTCTATACCCAGTATTAAAAATGTTTCTGAATCCTCTTTAAAGAAACCTAAACTGGGGCGCCTGGGTGGCTCAGTGGGTTAAGCCTCTGCCTTCAGCTCAGGTCATGATCCCAGGGTCCTGGGATCGAGCCCGCATCAGGCTCTCTGCTCAGCGGGGAGCCTGCATCCTCCTCTCTCTCTGCCTGCCTCTCTGCCTACTTGTGATCTCTCTCTCTGTCAAATAAATAAATAAAATCTTAAAAAAAAAAAAAAAAGGAACTTAAACTGAAAATCACAATTATATTATGGGTGGGGTTTATCTAACAAAGATAATATTTAAGTCTATGAAGCAGACTCACACAAAAGAAAGACCTCAGTCCCACATCGAAAGATTGGTAAAGGAAAGATTATGTATTTTAAGTTAAAGTAAGTTATATAAACCATTTTCTTGATTTCCTGCTTTAACCATCCTATTAAACTGGTCTACTGTTGGTCCTAATTGAATTGGATAAGAGAACTTTTACTATAGTAACATAGGTTTAGTACTAGTTATATTTGGTGGTCACTTCAGAATTTTAGTTGATTACCCTGACATTCAAAGGGATGAAGAAAGCAGGTATATTTCTCAAGAAAACAATTCCCTTTGTTTATTCACAGCACATTCTTAGCTTATCATAGTTGTTAGCCATTTAAAAATAATTCTTATTTAGTATTATATATACCATATTAAAGTAAAAAATGCAGGTTAAGTGAGTTCCCTTATAAAGATGAGTTAACTAGTCTTTTTGAAAAAAAAAGTTATAATGAATTTCATTAATTAAAAAAAAATCAATATTAATACATAACTTCTGCCTTAAAAGTGCAGTTATGACCAGGGCGCCTACGTGGCTCAGTCAGTTAAGTGTCTGCCTTTGGCTCAGGTCATGATCCCAGGGTTCTGGAATGGAACCACGCATTGGAATCCCTGCTCAGTGGGGAGTTTGCTTCTGCTTCTCCCTCTCTCCAAGCCTGTGCTTGTTTGCTCTCACTCTCTCTCTCAAATACATAAAATCTTGGAAACAAATATATATTTATGACCTAAATAAACATAAAACAAATACAATTTTGAATACTGTTTGTAAATAAGACTCCTATAGTGAGTGACTTATTATTTAGAAGTACTAAAAATACAGACATCATTTGGTTGAACTAATCCCTATAGTCCTAGAGAGGGCTGCAACATAATGGCTATATAGTCTTGTTCTCTAGATCTTGGGAAAGCACCACCAACATGTAACTGTGAGGGACCCTTCAATTAGTAGTTAAGAGTCTGACTGGGTTGCCTGGATGGCTCAGTTGGTTAAGCCATTGAATCTTGACTTTGGCTCAGGTCATGATTATGAAACCAATCTAATCAGGGTTATGAAGCCAAGCCTTGCATTGGGCTATCCACTGGCTGTGGGGCCTCCTTAAGCTTCTCTCTCCTTCTCCCTCTGCACCACTCCCCTACCTGGCTCACACTCTCTCACTCTCTCAAAAAAAAAAAAAAAAAAAAAAAAAAAAAGAGTCTTATCTAGAGAAATATGGGCATGGATTAAGAAGCTGTAGATGGACTTATTTGGAGGTAAACAGTTACATCTCCTCCTCTTTCTACTCACTGTTCAGTTATACCTTTTCCCTATAGAATCACACAATCTTTCTTAAGGGTTGGAAACTTAAAGAGCTCATTTTTTCCTATCTGATATTATATTATCCTATCTCATCTGTGAATGATGGCCATAAACCCTCTAACTGCTAATAATGACAGGACATTCATAGTTTAGATCACTCTATTTTTAAACAGCTAAATCAGAAAGTTTTTCTTAAAGACTTTTATAAATATATATATATCTAAAGATAGATTTATTTATTCTAAGAGAGAAAGCGCACAGAGGGACAGAAGGAGAGGGAGATAGAGAGAAGCAGACTCCCTACTGAGCACAGAGCCCAACAGGGCTTCCGTGACCCATGAGATCATGACCCAAGCCGAAATCAAGAGGTGTGTATGCTTAACTGACTGAACCACACAGGTGCCCCCAGAAAGTTTTTCTTATAAAATCAGACTCTCTGTAACCTTCTTATTAGTGTTAGCTCTATACCTGAGTTACACAGTATGCCTAAACTTGCTTCTACGTAACATTTAAAATAATTTTTGAATTATTTTTTCATCCCCAAGCTAGCTCTTCTTTGGGTTAAACATTTCTAAATTCCTTTGAATTTTTTAAAAACATGACTTTTTGACTTATTACTATACTTAATGTTAAAAGCTATAGTTTTTCCATGTCCTTATTAAAGTATGATGTCAGTGTTGAAAGGAATATTCTTGTGCTCTATCAGCTCAGAATTCAATGGAACCTCAGAACAGATTTGGATCATAGAACAATGTGATTTTATTGTGGCCATACTGCACTCTGTTGACAAAAGTACATGTTATGACTCATGTAGAACTAACACTTTAAGTAACTGAAGTGGGTCTATTGTTCAGATGTTCTTCCTTTTACTGTATTGGTGTAAAGACTTAATTATATTTATTCTATATTGTGAGCACATTTAAACACACAATAATATTCTTCCTATACAGATTCTATGTGCTTTAGAAGCCACTGCCTTGCCGACTTGGAATATCTGGTTTTATATAGCTACAATTTTTGATCTTTTGACCTTCCAGTTTCCCTTGAGGCATACTCCTTTAGAAACTCTCTGCTATACAAGGTTATACATAACTTTTTGCTTCAGTTTCTAAACATCTATTTTCACAAAGTCTAGGGAAATTATAAACATAGCAGTATTTTCTTGCTTTGGAATACAAACTTTGACATGCCATTATTACTTTCTTGAAAGAGTCTTGTTACTTCTCCATTAGTAAAGAGTTCTTCCTTGCCAGTTCAGAATATCACTTCCTCTTTTTGCTTCCTCTATCTTCTCTAAGTAGAAAATGCCAACAAGATAAATCAAGAATAATAGTAAGTTCTCCTTTTAGTAGAAATAAACTTAGAGAAGATATATGGATAGTCGAAGTACAAAATTACCAAAATATGGTGTCTCTGCCACTTTATAATCTGTATTGTAAAAAACACAGCTTACATCATCCACATGAACAGGTAATTTACAGTCGTTTCCTAAAAATAAAATGCTCTCAACTACTCATCCAACCTCAAGTTTTAACATACCCAAAGGACAAACAGCTCCTTAACAGCTCTATGTTTCTACTTTCCCTACTTCGTTTGTTCAAATTCAGACCTCCCACTAGAATGTTCCAGTCAAGAATCCAGTGTCAATCAGTGGTATTTTGGAACATATATATTTCATTTAAAATGACTTATTCACTTGACTTATCACCTCAAACTGGTATATAATAATATGGAACAATAAATATTAATCCTGAACCTTCCTTTGTCCTCTGTTTTCTCCTAGGAACCTATCTCTACTGTGATTTTTTCTGTTACAATCAGAGTTCTCTGAGTATGTTGTCTAGCCTGTACTTTTACCATTCTGTTTGCATATTCAGCCTTTCACTCCTTTTTCAAACTCTTATTTCCTCTTTCTTGACCTCGCCTGCCTTTTAATGGGAAAGCAGAGAAGCTGGCGCTCACTCTGCCCATCTTTATCTTTACTTCCTTCTTCGTTTTATTTTACTAGGTCAAGGATAGTAAAGAGAACATGTAACAGGACAGCTAAAGTTCTTTGTTCCAGTCACAGTTTTGCTTTCAACTATAAAAAACGGAAGAAGTCACTAATGGCTTTAAGCTTTAGTTTAATCATTTAAGTTTAATCATTAATAAAATGTAGTGGTTGACATGGGTTAGATGATCTTTGAGTTTTCCTTCAGTTGTACCATCACTGGAGGTGATCAGCCATGTCGGCACTATACCTCCACGCTATGGAGAGTGATATCTCTCCATAGCATTTCACAGGATAGAGATGGTTAAACATTCACTGAAAAACCTAAATGCCAGAACACATACAATGCTTCCTTCCTTTTGATTAAGAGAAGCTTCAGTTATAACTCATTTCTTGCTCAGTTACATTGCCAATTAACATAGACAAAACTTTTGTCAGTGTTTCAAAATTACAGGACATATAAGCACAGAGGATTTAAAATCATCTTTTTAAAATTAGGAGTGGCTAGAATACGTGGTGGGGCAAGTCAAACCAAATTTTAATTTTCTATAACCATTATGTAAGTTGAAGAAAAAAATATTACCTTTCAAACTTTAACAACAGAGGTTCACTGTAAGAATGGTTATATAAATATAGATACACATTAATAAAGCAAGGATACAACAACAGGAAAGTGCACTGTAGGCTTCAAAAAGATGGGTAGCAATATCCAGTCTTTTAGAATCCACAATTTGTAAATTGTTCACCAAGGCTAACTTATGCAAGTGTGGTATAACAACTGAAAAAAGAAAAAGAAATTGTTAGATTTCTGCACACACTATACTCATACATTAAACAAAAATACTCATACATTAAACATAAAACTCATACTATACTCATACATTAAACAAAATTTTTTTCATTTAAAAATTTTTAAAATTTCATTTTAATTCTGGATGATTTCAAATCCTTCACTTACTTTTTCTTACTAGAAAGGAAAGTATGTTATTTCAGAATAACATTTGGAAGGAACAGACCATAGCACTGTCACTATAACCTAAATATGAGGGTGTCTACAGGTTATTTGGCCTCACTGAAATTAAATTTCCCAATTTGAAAGATGAAAACCAAATAAACAAATGTAAACAATCGACCTCTTGTGTTATTATTATCTTTACAATTAAGTTTCTTTCTAAAAATCAGGTATTATCACTGCTACTAAACAAAGGACAAATACAGCATACTTATTCTTTTTCAATATCAAATTATTTCACTCCATAAAACAATTCTTAGCTTTAGTTTCTCAAATTCTTAGAAAGACCAATGTCAAATAGCACCGATGGTTAGTTCGAGTCACTCAAAGGGCTCAATATCACCTTCTGTCTCAATGAATAAGATAAAATTTCAAAAATATAAATATCCTAGTACTAAAATAAAAGTGATGGCCCAAGAAACAGTATCCAATGCAGTAGCAATAAGCACCTCTAGGGCCTAAAACTGTGTTTCCTAAATACCACTTCCCAATAAAACCAGAGTTCCCTGAAGAAATGGTTGCAGGGCCAGTGACTATTAAAGTATTGCTCACAGGGCCCCTTTCTAATCTCTGCTTGGTTAGGGAACCCAAAACACCACTCATAAGCACATACTTCTGACCAACTGTAGTGACTTCTTTCATGTTTGCATTGAGTTTATGTATGAGAAATATGTGAAAGCCACAATATTCCCCTAGAAAAACCTCCTGCTTCCTAATTAACCGACATTATAATCACAAGTTTTACACTTATGTTAGTAAATGGCCCAAAAATGAAACAAACAAACCAACCATGAAAACCATGAATTAACAATGGCCATTTTTAGGGTATTTTGACTTATCAAAATTAATAACAAGATACTTAAAAGGAGCTCTCGAAAAAAACTGGGAGACAAAAACTTCAAACATTCATTGATTTCCCACTGAATTCACTCCAATTCACTAACTGGCACGCTTAGGCCTCAACAAAATGGTGGCTCTAACAGTCTCTCTAGAGAATCTTTGAGATTCACTTCCCCTCAGCCTTTAGAATGTTCCTTGAACTTCTTTTTCTATTGACACATGCCTCTTTACTCCTTCTGCTCCTTTTCTGACCTCCTAAACAAGTAATCCTTTCCTTAATGTTTTTCTCAGAAACTCAATAACCATACTGCACAATAACCCCTTAAAGTTGCTTAACTAGAAAACAAATCTATATAAGTTACATTAAACTCTAGAGCCAATTAAAGGCTCTTGATCTAAGAGCCTCCTAAAGCTCAGAAGATAGACAAAAATTTATTCCAGAATTCAACATTTCATTACATACATAGTATCCTAGCTACCATATCTGTAGCAATTAATTTATTTAACTGATAACTCCTCAGATGGAAAAAATGGTTAAAAGATTTACTAACCAAGATATACATAATTCTACAACTGACCTTCGGTGGGCAAAGAAAATAGGAAATGTATAACATAAGGTCATTGCAGAAGCCTTTTGCTTAAGGGCAAATTAGACAGAGTCTACACTACAAATAAAATCAATCCATAGGAGAGTTTATAAAAATTGATTTCAATAAACTTTCCAAAAATATTTGGGGTAGATCCAACAGCCAAAGTAAAGGGAATCTTATCCTTTCTTTTTGTAAATGGGCTCAGAACTGAAATAAAGAACTTCTAAAAAAAAAAAATCCCAACTAATCTGAAATGTAAAATTGCCATGTTAGAAAATCTCCAGCATATGACTGAACATTTTCAGAGGGCTTTATAAAGTAAAAAAGCTGAAAAGAAACAACAACAAAAGACTGAATTGTGTTCCAAATAAAACCAATGGCCTCTGAAAAAAAAATCAAGACCAAAACGTCCTGCGATAATGAGGAGTTGGGAAAGAAAAAAAGTCCACTGGCTTCTGTTCTCTAAGAAATAGAATGACGAATACCCAAAATGCCACTCCAAGGAAGATACTAACACTCAACAATTCTCTCACCTTCTTTTAAACTCCTAAAAAGCAACAGTCTATAAATAAAGATGGGTATCAGTATGGAATTCTTGTCAAGATGACTTCTACTCTACCACTAAATTATTAACATAATACATTAAAGTCCTCAGGGTAAAGTTTTAAAGTAAAACGAAAGCCACTGGGCAATAAGTACAAAAGAAAACAAAAGTTTTTTTGTCTTAAATGGGGGAAAAAAAATCTGGTTGTACCAGAATGTGAAAGAAGATTGTGTTAAGACATATCTGTGGGTATACGTTAAATTGTAGAAGGACGCAGGGATAACAAGTGGTTTATTACACCTATTCAAAAGTGGAACATCTATCGTCAATATTCCCAAGACAACCTTTGTTATTTTGGGACCTTTATAAAAAGAAAATGTCTTTCTTCTCAGCGATGCATAAACCTTTCTTTTGAATGTGCACAAGAAGGTTAGACCATGTTCTAGAGAGTTACTAACTTGACAACATGGGCACACACCAAAGGCTCATCGCCTACTTAGCCAATTCCTTGATCTAAAAGCCAGGACTTAAGTCTCTCCACTTCAGAACAATGACAGCCTCAATAAAGCTGGTCAAAGTACCTTTACAGTTTTTACTAGAATCGCCTATAAATCCGATGTTACAGTATGTGGAACTATCCCTATTGCTAGTTAAAATGCCAAATCTTTTCCTGTTAACTAATCATGAAATATTGCTATTTTCTCATGTCATCAACATTACCCATTAAAAAATCACTTCGGGATTATGTTTCTGTAGCTCAGTGTTATGCCCTCAAAATACCTTTTGGACAATGCTGTCCAATTCCTAACAATATCTTCTGTTGATGACACTTCCATTAAAAATATCAGGCCAGATATGTAACAACTAGACTGTGGGAGAGTCCCAATTTTGTTCTAGAAACCAAAATGACGTTAAGAAGCCAAACTTGTGGTCCTCTCTAGGGCATGTCAAATTGCTAAAAATTAAAGGACTGAAGAAGTATAGCAGTGATAACTGACATATGCTTTTGGAGTAATAATTACTGGATACTTTGATGCCACTAAAAGAAATTCCCGTCATAAAGGCTGAGGCCTATAGTAAAAGAGATACTACAGAAACTAGAGAAAATGCTTTAGCAGATAATTATGTAAATCATTAGTGGATGAACAAGCTGTGCATTAAAACAAAATCATTGATCATAGCTGAGTGGCATGGCAAGTGGAAGAAAAGCATATTTTTCTTAAGAACATGATTAGAAACACATAAAAATTTCCTTAAAAATGAGAATTAAATAGTAAGTTTTAAATAGAACACAGTATAGTATTTTGAAATTTAGTTATTTTAAAATGTCTTAAAAATAACTTGGAATTGTTTGAGTTACTTTTCATGTGTTACAGCAGTCAGTATATAGTATAAAAATTATCCAGTAATAGTATTACTGATCAGTTCACAACAGTCAAATTTGGTTCACTTTTAGCTTTCAGTATACGAAAGGTAAAGTGGAGAAGGGCTTTAACATAGGACAAATCCTGAGAGAAGCTTCTGGCTTTGATCTTACATTACAATTCAGGAAAAAAAGATAGAAAAATGTAACTTACACTCATCTCGGAACCTCGGTTCTGCATTAGGCCCAACTCTACCAAACGTTTTTATGATCTCTGTATGCAAAGAATACTGGTCTTGGTACTGAGGATCTTCCAGAAAAGAAGCCAACTGCATTTTCACCCTTTCCAGCAACTTAAAATTGGATATTGTACAGTTATTTCACAGAATATTAAAAATAGAGTTGTTACAGAGAATGTTATACATTAATCATGCTTGCAACATGGATTCAAATGATTTATATCAACATGACATAAATAATTTGCAATTAAACAAGTACTTATTTAGTCTTTTGGTTCAGAAAGTTTTTATATTTTTGTTTATGCTTGTTAATTCTTTTTTTATTTTTTTGAAAATATAAATATTCCCTAACAAACTGTAAAAACAAAAACGCCCACAGTAGAGAAAAACATAAATTTTATAATGATTTTGTATCTACATTTTAATTCTTAAAACCAATCACAGTGTAAATTACCCAATTATTCACCTTCTGAAAGCAGTGAGTCATTAATGACTTATATCTTACTCACATTTCCCTAAAAGACATTTTTATTTTAGGATTTAAGAACATGTTGAAATTCTGCCAAGACTGCAAGCTTTGCAGAATGACACTTTTTAATGTTGCTTCACCAGTGAAATATATAAGGAAAAGATGGAAAATGCGCCCCCCCCAAAACTAAGTTGTTTAATTTGTTATTAAAAAAATCTTTATGACAAAGGAACTTCATAAAATAGTGTTTCCTTTTTTGGGGGGAGGTAAAATGTCTGTTTCCATGTAAGTGGCTGTGTAAGACGTGCACAAATGATTTATTTTCTATCTGTAGAGTTTTTCATTTGTATAAGACATGTCCAATTTGATAATAAAGAACGAAATTCTGACACTAATTTTAAGAAGTGTCTTACAGTTAATGTTGAAGACAGAATGTAACAAACTTGAAATTAAATCACAAGATTCTAAATCAAAATACACTGTTAGGGAGAAAGAACTTGATAATCTCCTGAAGCAGACCTAACAGAGGGCTGTCACAGTTCTATGCGCTGCAGTGACATGATACCAGCCCACTAGACTTGCACCTTGGTATCAGTGACACAGTTATGAGAACAGAGGTGCCCTCTAGCCTCCATTTGGGAAACTGAAATAGGTCTGTGTTCCTAAAGTTATCTGGCAAAATTGTCTTCAAATCTGTGCAAACTGGTAATCAGGAATTTGTGTCGACTATCTAGAAGTCTACTGGAGAACAGAAGGCTTTCTGCTTTGAAGGTTATTCAAAACTGCAATACTCAGCTAGGCTTAAAATGGAACATCTAGGAGTTGGCTTATATTTAATTTTCTAATTGAGAAGGAAGATGGAGATTTCCTTAGGATATGAAGATATACTTTGGGTAAGGCTCTCATATTTTCCATACTGAGATATTCCTCTGGCCCATAACGAACTAAGAGATAAACTAAAAGGTATAATGCTCCCTGCCCCCCACCACTGGATGCATGTGTGTAATGTATCATCACCTCAACAGTACACAGATAGTAAATGTCAAGAATTTCCTACCTCTCTCTGAATAACTGTTTCCATAATAGTGCCAAAGGCCGGAATTGTGGCAATTCTGACAGAGCTGTTAGAATTAAAAAAGAAAGAAACTGAAACTTTCTTTGAGATGAAAAACTGATTATTAAAATGCATATCAAAGTAAGTACAAGGTAAATATACTGTATTAGTCTCTAGCAATGACAAATTAAATTAAAAAAAAGCAGACCAAGAAGAATGCTCAAAAAGACAGACAGGGTAACTTAAGGTCGCAGTCTGTGGAACTCACAATTCAGGATCACTGGACAAGGTAACAAGGGCCGGAGCAACCCGCTTGTCAACTAACGCTTCACTCATGCCTCGAAGAGTCAGCTGTAAACCAGTCAACATGCAATAAAAAATGGTTTGGTAAACTGGAATGAGAACTGGGTTAGCTGTGACTGAGGATGGGCAGGCAGACTCATTGGTCTTTCTTGGTTTAGTCACCCACATGAGACATTAAAATGTTAAGCCTTTGGTTCATGCCACTATACTTACTGGTAACAACATGTTAGTGAGATTAGCAGAGCATCCTTTCTTGGCTTGGAAGAAATAGTCCATCAGCATATTCTAAGTTTTGGAAATGTTTACTGGGAATGATATTAATGTATTCTTTTCATGCATGGCCTCCAAATGTGATGGCTCACATTCAAAGAAAAGATCCATGAACAGTATAATAAAGTTCAAAATCAAGTGAATATAATCCACTAGTATTATTTTAAAGAGATAACTATATTCTTTAATGGATTTAAAAGCTGATGGTTATTTCTCGACAGGCACATTTTGAAAGGGATGCTGAATGTAAACGGCAGGGATGACACTTACATTTCAGGGTCACTGGAGAGAGTAATGAGAGCAGGAACAACCCTCTGAGCTACCAGAGTCTCATTCACCCCCTTCACCAACAGCTGATTGGTCAGCGTGGGGGTATTCACAGGTGATGCATGGAAAGAGCAGACAGTGCCACGGGAAGAAGAAAGGAACAACCAAGAGAAAGAGAGAAAACACAAAAGCAAAACCAAAATTAGAAGCTAAGCAAATACTGCTTCTAGGGTGCTTTATAAAGGCAGAGAATGCTTGGGAAGAGAATAAAGCTGAAATAGCCTAGCAGTCCACGAAAACAGCGTTTGTCACCAGTTCGATGGCAGTTTGTACTTTTGGTCAAAGTATCCAGGCAATTTTTGTGTTCAATTAAATACAATTTTTAAAAAAAACCTTTTCTTTCTTTCTTTCTTTTTTAAACTTAAAAAGAAGATATATACTGGATTCTATGGTTAAAATTGTTGAAGTAAATCTGGTGTCATTTTGTTATGACCAACAAGGTACAAACTGGACCGTTTTTAAACCAAACTCAAACGGCCAGCAGACACCACTGAACTGCTCTGATTGTTCCATGGCAAGTCAACATAAAAATCCAGGACAATTCCCAACCTTTTACATCACACAGTTTTCTCTCTTGAGGTATGGAGACATAATGCAGCCTAAGTGGGAAGTACTACGTCTGGGAATTGGATCTGGGTTCAGACTCTACCTCTCCACTTAGCCATGTGGCCTTAGACATGTTACATAATCTCTTGAAACTCAGTTTTCTCATCCAAACGTGGTGATATTGTTATTTATCTTAAAGGATCATTGTGCTACTAATAACTACATGTAATACACCTAAGTACTGCATCTGACAAAGGTTATGCATTCAAGAAATGTGAGTTTAATTATTATGAGTACTCCAAGATATAAGATTTATGATGTATTTGAATGAAGAAATTATTAATTAAAAAATTGTTTTGGCCGGTCCAAGTTGTTAACATTTACAGTTATTTTACATTTCTCTAAAGGCTCAAATGAATAGGAAAAATATGGTAAGTACAATTAGACCAACCTATTTCTATGCTCTAATGACAAAATAATCCATTTAGCAACCAACCCTAAATCCAGAAGAAGAGGACAATATTGGGCAGTATACATTTGGTTTTAAAAGGGCAACATCCTAATCCTACATTCTCAATTTCAGAATTTAAAAAACAAATGAATCCTAAATGCTAATGTTTATAGCAGCAATGGCCACGGTTGCCAAACTGTGGAAAGAACCAAGATGCCCTTCAACGGACAAATGGATAAGGAAGATGTGGTCCATATACGCTATGGAGTATTATGCCTCCATCAGAAAGGATGGATACCCAACTTTTGTAGCAACATGGACGGGACTGGAAGAGATTATGCTGAGTGAAATAAGTCCAGCAGAGAGAGTCAATTATCATATGGTTTCACTTATTTGTGGAGCATAACAAATAGCATGGAGGACATGGGGAGTAAGGAGAAGGGAGTGGGGGAAATTGGAAGGGTAGGTGAACCATGAGAGACTATGGACTCTGACAAACAATCTGAAGGGTTTGAAGAGGTGGGGGGGTGGGAGGTTGGGGGAACCAGGTGGTAGGTATTAGAGAGGGCACGGATTGCATGGAGCACTGGGTGTGGTACAAAAACAATGAATACTGTTATGCTGAAAATAAATTAAAAAATGATTAAAAAAATAAATAAATAAAAGGGCAACATCCTAATCCTACATTTTCAATTTCAGAATTTAAAAAACAAATGAATCCTAAATGCTAATCTGTCTGTTCACCTTGTAAGGGATCTAGGCCTCATGGAAGATGGAAGATGCCATAAATATTTAGTAACAAAAACCTAATACTGTGTGCATGTTAACACATTCCCCCTATAACCATATCAGAGATAGTAGAACTCACTTTACATGGGATTCTTTTTTTTTTTTTAAAGATTTTATTTATTTATTAGTTAGAGAGAGAGAGAGAGAGAGCATGAGCACAGGCAGACAGAGTGGTAGGCAGAGGCAGAGGGAGAAGCAGGCTCCCCGCTGAGCAAGGAGCCCGATGTGGGACTCGATCCCAGGATGCTGGAATCATGACCTGAGCCGAAGGCAGCCGCTTAACCAACTGAGCCACCCATGCGTTCCTACATGGGATTCTTAATTTAACTCTTAATTCTATTTAACAACTGATTGACTTTAAAATCTACTTCCACATTCTGAAATAACTTTTATAAAAATACATGGATAATTAGGCTGGAATAAAATGACAAAAGAACTTTCGCTACAACCTTAAATATAGTAGATATCAAGCAGAAAGAAATAGTGGAAAGAAGTTCAAATACTGTTAAATAAAACTTTCTTCTCTGTACCACTTTATAAATAAGATAGCTTGGATTTGAATCAGTAAAGTGTATTTTAAAGTGTCTGCTATCTTGTGCCAGCCAAAAAGCATTTAAAAAAGGGGGGGATAATCTAGGGGAGAAGTTAATTTTTCATTGCTCTGCAGTTTTAAGTATAATTTCTTTATTAAGCTAGAAAAAAATAAGGGAAAATTTAAGAGCTATTGCTTGTTATACATTTTACATACAATGTATTGTTCGACCTTTTTTTTTTTTTTACGATTTTATTTATTTACTTGAGAGCACAAGCAGGGGGAATGGCAGAGGGAGAGGGAGAAGCTGGCTCCCCACTGAGCAGAGAACCCCATACAGGGATTGATCCCATGACCCTGGGATAATGGCCTGAGTGGAGGTAGCTGCTTAATCAGTTGAGCCACCCAAGTGCCCCTCGTTTGAACCTTAAACCTGGTAAGCCAAGTACAATGACTAATATCAGTGTTTTAACATATGAAGAAACGGAGTCTTAGGGAAGAAGTTAAGTAACCTGTCCAGGGTTTTGGAGGCAATAGGCAGTTAGAAAACGGACTCAGCCACATGGGTCTCACAAGCCTCAGTGGTCTTTGAGCTGGCTACTGCTACATGCTTAGCTAGTATGAGGAATCATTCCATGAAGTTCTTTTCTGCATCTTTTGGGAAATCCATTATGTCATATGACAGTTTCCTTATAAATCATTTTCAATAACAATCTGTCACTTCAAAAAGTAACATACTACCTCTTATTTAACAATGACAGACTGAATTTCCCTTTTGTCCTGCTGTCTGAAAACTTAAGAGCTGCATTTAGCATATAATTTCACTAAGTATCTCCTATTATGTCCTTGGTATATCCATTTCTTGCTTTCTTCTCAACAGTTTCTGGTCTCACATTAAAAATTTTCTTTTGTTATAAACGTCCCGCTTTTTATGTTTTTATTTTGAATTAACTTGATTGGCAGGGGGAAGCAAGCACAATTGTAAATTATGAAGTATTAGCTTAAAAAAAACCTAATGAAACATACTTATTCTTTCAGTACGATTTTGTTCAAAATAAGGTTCGTTGACAAAAAACTATTTTTTAAAGATTTATTTACTTATTTTTAAAGATTTTATTTATTTATTTATTTATTTATTTGACAGACAGAGATCACAAGTAGGCAGAGAGGCAGGCAGAGAGAGAAGGGGAAGCAGGCTCCCCGCCGAGCAGAGAGCCCCACGTGGGGCTTGATACCGGGACCCTGCGATCATGACCCAAGCTGAAGGCAGAGGCTTTAACCCACTGAGCCACCCAGGCGCCCCTATTTATTTATTTTAGAAAGAGAGAGCAAACAGGGGGAGGGGCAGAGGGAGAACAAGAAAGAGAATCCTTAAGCAGAGGCCCTGCTGAGGCTGGAGCCTGATTCGGGGCCCCATCCCAGGACCCTGACATCATGACCTAAGTTGCACTCAACCGACTGAGCCACCTAGGCTCCCCCCAAAAACTAACTTTATTTTTTCCTACTGATGACTTTTACTGGCATGATCACTGAAAAATTTTTTATCATAAATGAGTTTGAAAAAATATTGAAATAAATTTCTCAAATTTGACTCAGAAGTTCATAATCAACCTGAAAGAACACTGAAAACTGCTGGAGCACAGGTACAGCTTCCAACCCAGCACTGACCGCAACCGTAGAAAACCAAAGCCAGGCAAAAGCCACATATAAGAAATAAAACAGAAAAAAACCCAAAATAGAGAGGATGTTTCATTTTATTTGCTTAAATTTTTTCATTTATATGGTATACTTTGCCAGTGCATACATAATTTGAAAAACAAATGGTTTAAGAGAAACAAGTAGGTTTTAGGGTCTTAGAATAAAATCCTATGGGAAGAGTGTATTAAAGACAGTTCTTTATATAAAAGGATGCTTTTTTCTTTCGTGAATGACTTTTTTCCCAGCATACTGAATAATCAAAATTATTTATACTCACAAGGATCTTTTATTACAGAGCAAACTGATTTTTTATTTGGCATTCAACTTGACAAAGAACACTTGAACATAGTTTTTTTTGATCAAATATGTATAATAATGGAGGGACTAACATGGACAGAGGATGTTCAACCTCCTTGGCAAGACTGGAATTTTCTTTAGAGTTCACAAATCTATTTTTTGTATTTAAAAGTTTGCTTAGATACATATTTTAAACATACCAATGCTCTATTCTTCAAATGACAATTTATCTTAAATTGTGGAAAAATTCTGAAATTCAGGAAAAATTATCCAAAGGACTGAATTAACCAATTCTCTTTATGGAAATAAATGCTTTAAGATATTTTAAGAATCACATGCATATTAGGGATAATTTTAGCTTAGATAGATATATGTTCCCTAATCTATATGTTACTTTGTGAAATAGCATGATAAGAAAAAAAGAATAATGTTAATGACAGTTAACATTTACTTAGTTTAATATGTGCCAGACACTGTTTTAAGGGCTTTACAAGTACAAATTGATTTCATATTAACAAAAATCTTTTGAGATGAACACTTATTATTATCATCTTCATTGTGTAGATGAGGAAACTAAGGCACCGAGAAGTCTGAACTTGCTGCTAAGTGGCAGAGACAGACACTGAACCCAGGCAGTCAGGCTCTATGGCAAGATTCAGTAGCAAAAAGAAATAAGGAACACTCTGTATCAACTTTAGCCTTCAAATATAAGTTCTAGAGATAGAAATCAATCAATATAAAATAATCAAATAGGTTATAGAATAATTTCCCCTATGATGGCTATTTCAATTTTCAGAAGATAGGCATTTTAATTTTCATACTTAACTTGGGTTGGTGGCAATTTAAGAAAATCTAGTTAAACAGACTCTTTTAATAAGTCTATGGGCAGTTAATGTACAGGGATGTTATTCTAGATATGACATGTGAGAAAATAAGTAGAAGTAGTCAATAAAGTAAATATTTTCATATTTGCAATAACTGACTTTTTTAATGTGATTAATGAATCCAACTATAATTTACAACTTTAAATATCTCTTACATTGTTTTAGTTTATTTTAGTAGCTGTTTTATCTCTATAAATAGAAAAGTATAATCAGAAAGATTTATAAAGGATGGAAATTAAGTAAGATTTAAAAGAAAATATGAGAAATAGAATTGATAATAGAATAACATCCAAGGAACCAAGGCGGCTAGAAAGCATTCTTAAATATATCAAAGCTAAATTTCTGCCCCATCACACAGTACACAACTAGATACTGTTTATTGCCAAAAAATACACATCAACATAACATAGTATTCAAAACCTTTTTAAAAAAACATTCCCTTCTCCTTCTTCCAAACAAAATCATTATAATCTGAACCGAGAGAAGTATTTATTTACATACCTCGAACATTCTAGCAGCAGTACATCTCACAAGTGCTGATGTATGGACAACACCATACCATAGAACAGTTAACAGTAACTCATGGTAGGCTGGATTTGCACTGAAAGAAAAAACTTGGTGTTAATAGTGAGAGCCACAGTGCCTTACTGGTGTACTGAAAAATAACTATATTTATAAGTAATAATAATGACAAAAACATTGGCAAATCATATGAAATTATCTGTGTAGGTTTAATAGGTTACATCCAAGATTCTTTAAAAAAGGAAGTCACCTCACAAAGCCACAAACTTTTAGCATATTCAGGAATTATAATTTTAGGTTCTACAAACATTTGCAATTACGACAGAAATTTCAACTGTTTAATAGCATAGAAGTTAAAATTATTAAAAAAGAAAAAGAAAGAAAAAGAAAATTTACCTAGGAGGAAAAAAAGATAGGGCACTGGACTAAGAGTCAGATGAGTAAGTTAAACCTCTGTGGGGCTTAATTTCTATATCTACAAAAATTGGGGAAGCTATGCATGTCCTTATTTATGTCGTATGTTTACTGTAGGATCAAATCAGATCAACTCAAATCATGTACAGGGAAGGATAAGTTGGCTGTGAAGCCTATCTAAATATAAGACTGTATTGCTATTAAGTGCAGAGAAAAAACTACAATAGCAGCTGAATGATATGATTACAAGCAGGATTACAGAAATCATAATGAACTGGCTTTTACTTGGGGCTCCTTTTTCAGTTTTGGAAAACTAAATTTTCTTTAAATCTGAACTTTTTTTTTAAATTTTTTTTTTTAATTTCTTTTATTTCTCCAACCACTTCCAAGAAAACATCTGTAGTCTTTCCCCATTCTTTTATTACAATTATTGATTACAAAATATTAAGAATGTACAAATAAGCAAAACCAGAAACCAAACCCCCCCCCCAAAAAAAAAAACCTTAGGCCTCAAAACCCAAAAGATTTGGTGTGTATGCCAATATTTTTAGACTCAAATTATGTATTCCATAAATCCAATTTAAAAAAATTTATATGAGTTTAAAAAAAACAACAACTATAAGCTATTATTTTTACCCCAGTTCCACAAAAGAAGCCTTCAGGCTATCAAGAGGAGCATGAGATAATGAAAGCAGGGTCATTACATCTTCTAAGAATCCAACTAACAGTTTTCGGTCTTCTTCCTACAGAGGAAAAAGACTGATAATGAATTTCTAACCAAGTAAGTAGAACTAAAATAATAATTTCCTGCCAAAATTAGAAAATTTCATCAAATATGGGGAAATATCCAGTCTTAGAAGCATTTTAATTAAAGCTATTTATTCAGCATATCTATGACCACAATGGTATGAGGACAAGGACTATCCTGATTCATAGATTTAGACCTGTGCTGTCCAATATGGTAGCCACTCACCACATGTGATTATTTATAAAATTTAAATTTAGATTAAAAATTAAGTACAATAAGGGTGCCTCGGTGGCTCAGTCGTTATACATCTGCCTTCAGCTCAGGTCATGATCCTAGGGTCCTGAGATCAAGCCCCGCATTGCACTCCCTGCTCAGTAGGGAGCCTCCTTTCCTCCTCCCTCTCCCCCTGCTTATGTTCCCTCTCTCCTTGTCTCTCTCTGTCAAATGAATAAATGAATAAATAAATCTTTAAAAAAATTGTATAATAAAAGATTCAGTTCCTTAGCACTATTCAAGTGCTTAATAGCCACATGTGGCTAGTGTCTTCCTTATTGGACAGCTCAGATACAGATTATGTCTGCTGTTGCAAAAAATTTTATAAGACAGTCCTGGTTTAGAACATAATAAGGCATATTTTAAAATTAAAATTAATTTTTACCAACTTCAGTTCTCATTAATTTTGACACTAAATACTTACATACAAACTAGTAAATTTATCCCTTTAACAGAAAATCCATTTCCTAAAAATTATCTTTGCAATGTCTTAGTGGTGAGAAGCTACATGCTTGTTGAAATATAGACTACTGTGTTCTTAAAAGACTGTATTTTGAAATTGTAAGATGGCTCAAAACTGTTTTAGGAAGAAGAGTACAATAAATATGAATTGTTTTACTTTGAATTCAAAGGACAAAAGAAACCTTAGGTATTAATAGGGGAAAACTCAGCAAAAAAGGCCTTCCTTTTTGATTCTTACACTCTGATTTCTATTTATTTAAAAAAAAATTTTTTTTTAAAGTAATCTCTACAACCAATGTGGGACTCTAACTCATGACCCTTAGGATCAAGAGTCACATGCTGTACTGACTGAGCCAGTCAGGTGTCCCTCACAATCTAATCTCTAAAAATGCTTTATCCTGAATCTATACTTTCACCTTACTGGTGAGACTGCCTCACACTTCAAAATGACTGATAAACCTTAATACAACATCATACTGTTTCCTTAAAATAAGGTTAAGTAGAGTGTGGTGGTCTGTTATACTGTGACCTGCAATGAACCACAGCTCCTGATTCATGTCCTTGTTTAGTTCCCTCCTCTTCAATTTGGGCTGGGCCTATAACTTGCTATAATCAAGAGACAGCAACAGAAGTGATGTGCTGATTCTAGGCCTAAGCCTTAGCCTAGTAGATGCTGCTTTTGCACTCTTAGGAGCCCTGAGCTACCATGTATTAGGTCTGGCTCTGCTGCTCTAGAAGTCCCGTGGGAAGAGAGAAACCCCAAGACTGTACATGGAGACTGAAGCTTGGTCATCCTAGCTGAGCTGACTTATTCAAATATGCTCTCCACTAATAAATTACTTACTGAATAAGACAAATATTTAAATTTTGTTTTCCTTTACAGGTACCACTTTTATTTGTACACACATTAAAAAGGCATAATGTTAAGTATCTTTCTAAACAGAAAGTGCTTTTACATTTTCTAGTCAAAGAATTTTTCCCTTACCTGAATATAACATGTAAGGACTCCTGTTGCATAAATGGGGACAGTAGCTTTAGTGAGGACCCCATTTCCTGCTGAGGAATCTAAAATCATTAAAATAATTTTAAAAATCTGAGCATATTTTAAATGTAAAGCAAAAAGTTACAAAACGAATTATACTTAAAATTCCAACTGGCTAGAAGGTTTACACATAAATATTATCATTACTTTGGAAAATGATTTTGATTAAAACATATATCCAATGGTGGTTGTAAAAATACAACTTAGTACTTTTTATAAAGCCATTAGCTAAACATTTTTGGTAGATGGGAAAGAACTTTAATAACCAAAATGAGATGCTATACTTCCATTTCCATACTCAGAAGTCAGTGCTTTCCTGAAGTCTCCCAAATGCCAATCTATAAAATCAGGTCTCCTTAAATTTTTATACTTTCATTTACAGTAAAACTTAAAGGCACTTAGGTAAAAGGCACCTATGTACGTACTATTTATCTGCTTCTAGATATGAGATACTACCTAGTTTCCTAGGACCAGTCTAGTTCCAGAGCACCTCCTCCATTTTCTATAGCGATTTTCAGATAGATAACCCTGATTATTTCCAATGGGAAAATTCAGGCTAAGTAAAGCAGTAGAAGAGAGGAAAGCGTTTAACCCTAGGAGAGTACCCTGCGATTATTTTAAGAGAAGATAAAATCACCTGTAGATGCTTTCAAAAAAGCACTTCTAGAGATGGTAAGACATTATTTGTTGTACCAACATCTCTTGCTTATTGTTCCTTAGGCACTACTTTAAGTCCTTTATATTTGCTTTTACATACTCCCAAATTATTTGTTACATTTTTCTTTTTTTATATTGCTCCAAATTCTTTTCAGAAAGTAGTATGTAGTACATAAAGAAATTTAACTAACTGCCCTGAAAGAATTATAACAAAAAAGAAAGTTCCATTTTCACATCAATTAGTATTCGAGGTTTGCTTATTCTCTTCATAAGATTAATTTTTTTTCCTTGGGGGTAATACTGATATGCTACTTGAGAGTTAAATCTGAGGCTAGGAACATAGGTCTAAATTGGATTCAGAGATACACACTGTCTATAGAGGGATTAATAATCTCTTCCTACATGAACAGCTAACATTCAGAGCTAACTGAATAATTCTAAAAGCTGTCAGTTTCTAAAATATATAAATATTCTTCACTAATTTATCATCAGAATTAATAACTGAACAGATAATACCAACTACTAGGCATTCCAAACATCAATCCTTTTTAAAAAATACAAATTTTGGGAAGCATCTGTCAAAAAAAAATCTCATGTTTTATTCTTCTCTCTGAGGACAGCCCAAGGTGGAGTTTTGTAGATCACTCAAACCAAATCACTAAGGCAGGACTGAACTGAGATAAGAATTATCTATATATCCCAAATCAACCAAATTAAAAAAAAAAAAAAAAAAAAAGAGGGAGGCTGTACATTTTCCCTTCTAACATTTTTCAATTCTTAGGAACTAGAAAAATACACAGGGACATAAGATCCATAAAGAAATGAGTTCTTAGGCCAATGGTGCTATAACTAGACTTCTTAAGACAGATGAGTGAAAACTATCAACAGAGAGGCTAGAACTCCCCATTCAAGCACGTAGTTTTATTTTAAAAATGTTTATGCATACCACACATTCTCTTCCACTATATTTAATTTTAAAAGTTTTAAATAACTAATTATGACGTAGAGGCCCTTTATTTTATAATTTTCAGTATCTTGGATATACCACTTCAAACCTATAAGGGTATAAGTACTCAGTTTGAGAAACTCAGCCTTAGGTCAGTTTAATTACAAAGAAGTAGATATTTATAATCAAATTAGCAAAGATTAACCTCACCACAATCTCACAGGAAAGAGATTAGATGTGATACAGCTGTAAAACCAAGAAACAATTTTCCTTTTCACGTGTACTTGCTAGTTTACAATGTGCATATAACAAATATAGTATTTTTCCTGAGTGAAGAGATTCAATTGTTTTTAAAAAGTAATAACAATGAACCTACCAATGTTTTCTTCAGACAGTCTTAAAATCTCCTGGAACTGAGGTTTTACCTAAGCAACCCAAAGAAGATATAAAATTTTAGATCCAATGTATCAACTGATGATTAAATTAAGTAAAATGTTTACTACTATTGCTACTATTTATTTGCTTTGCTTTATAGACTATTAGAGTGGTAAGAAATGTAACAATTTCTAAGAGGCTTAGAATAAAATAAAAGGCAAGTTACTGACAACACCTTTAGAGAAAAAGTATTTTCAAAATCAATTCAAGTCAGTAAGTTTTTCTCAAGGGCCTTTGGTTTCCTTCACTAAATTAAGATAATTTCTAAGATGATTTTCAGTGCTTGAAATAGATACCTCCGAAAACTGAACTTGATGATAGAAAGGTTATTTAGGTAAATATTACTATATGATTAGATTTATTTTTTAAACATTTGCTTATTTAAAAGGAATGAAAAGGAAATTCCATTCATTTAATGTATTAAATAAGTAATATATTCATCACTTAATATCAATCTACTTAGATTTTAACTTCCTTAAAATATAAATTTAAACATCAAATACAGAATTTAATTATAATTTTTAAGTTAGAGTAAATGCTTATTTCAGTTTTTTTTATTAACATTATCACAAATTTCAGATTTCAGGCCACTGAAGCCAACCACTTAACTGCTAAATGCTAAAGCAGACTCCTACTTACTTCTTTTTCTTCTCTCCTTTTTAAAATAATAGCCACTTCTTTCAGAGTTGTCAAACAATTTGCTTGCCAATGTTGACAACCATAAGATCAAATTATATTTAACAATTAGATGTTAGTGAAAAACGTAAAATGATCCTGTTTCTTCTACAGTGGCATCAAGGTCTGCTTTTTGCCCTCCTATCAGCAGGTCAGCATAATAACTTACATATTCAACTTAAGCTGAGGTGAAGCCCCTGTTAAAAGATTAATCTACAGAATCATAGAACAAAGACACTGAAGTGATTTTTCATTTCACACACGGAAGTGACTTGATTTCACACAGGCCCAGACAACTTAATTATTTATGATGGGTCACAAACATAATAATGTTATAACCCATTTTCTGAATTTTGCCCGGTCTGCTATACCAAACTACTTTACTTTAAATATTTCAGTAACTACAGAGTAAAGTAACAGTTAGTAGTGAAGAGGTGCACAAAATTCTTACCTTTTAAACATCTTGTTTAGCATTTGATTATAGCAATTGTATCTTCCAATATTTTTATCAGGTCTCTAAAGAACTGGTTTAATAATATTCCAGCACGACAAATGGATTAAAGAGGAAATTGGGATCTAAGGACATTCTGGTTTTAAATTGTCTAAAACTATAAAATAACCTGGATGTGCAAACGTGACAAACAATACTGCTGGTAGTGACTGAAAGATGCAGCATTAATCTCAAGTGTCCCTGCTATTCTAAGAGCTGGATCCTTGAAGCAAGTTCTCTGTATAAGCTACTTTGGTTCCACCATCGCCTGGAGTTTTGACCAAAGTGTGCTGAGCAAACAGCCACCCCCCTGAATCTGGGGCAGATGGTAAAACAGGAGGAGCACATAGAAGAATTGCAGTTGAGTTCCCTAACTGATACCTATGCTGGAAATCTTCAAGATATCTACAGTGAGTAGATTTTATATCCAAATCTGGATACAAACTAAGTTTAGGCTAAATCATCTGAAAACCAGTAAAGATGAGAACACTAAATCATCTGAAAGTAAAGATGAGAATACTAAATCATCTGAAAAGAGGTAAAGATGAGAATACTACTGACTAGAATTTTCTTTTACTATTGTATTTTTCTAAGATATTAAAAGATAATTAGGCTAAAGGAAGGGCTCATGGTTTTATTTACTCTGTTACAGCATTAATTAACACATTACATTTCTGTATCTCTTGCACATAAGAAAACATGGAATACAAGTTTTTACCTTAGTGTTTGTAAAAATTTTGCCAAATGTCCGGCAAAGGCGCCAGAAAAATCTGGAGAATTCATGGACACAGGCAGTTGAAGTAACATTAATTTTGCCAACTATTTCTATAAGTTGTGGCAACCTAAATGCGAAAGGAAAGAAAAATAGGCAGGGGATACATATAAATTTCTGTTTCCTTGCTAATTTCTGAAACAATGCAAATCTAACAACCTCTTGTTTTGCTTTTGTTTTCTTTTTTTTTCTATGCCCAGCATGGAGCCCAACATGGGGCTTGAACTCACAGCCCTGAGAACAAGACCTAAGGCTGAGATCAAGACCTAACTGAGCCACCCAGGCACCTACTGATTTGCTTTTCATAGTCAGCAAACTTGCAAATCAAAGGAGTAGTCTGAGATGCTTTGGAAGGTTTTAAGCTTATATTCTGTTCTATAAACTGCTTCTATATTTTTACTGCTTGCCATAAAATATAGGAACCTTAATGGTAGCGTTCTAACTATGAAGTTGAGACATAAACTACTGGATTTGATGCTTCACATAAGAGCTTGGCTAATGGGCCATCCATTTTAGCTTCAACAATGAGAATGTGGATGTAGTTTAAAATCCATCACAACTATTAGACAACAACAAGGCAGCAGATAGGTCATTCTGACTAGTTCAGCAGCACCATTTGCATAGAAAATAACTACATATCCAGTAGTATAAATCTCCTCTCCGAAAGAAGTTTACCACAGATAATGCCAATTATGTTGTTATATTTTTTATATTTTGTCCCTCAGTGCCAAGGCTAAACACAGTGAGCTATCTTCCATTCAACTCACAGAGGTGTATGAAATGAAAAGGGAGGCAGTAACTTACAACTGATTGACAACCCATAGTAAAGTCTCCCAGCCTGTTGTCCCCTCGTGTTCCAGCTGGTAATCATAAAGTTGCAGTAGCACTGCCAATTGCTCACGACTTCCGATTATTGTAGATACATCTTGAAGAGGCGACATAGGCCGAGGGAACCTAGTCACTATAAATAATAGAAGCAAAATAAATCATGTGAAAATGGCCATTTGTGAAATTAACTGTTCTGTCCAAAGGAAACTAAGATTCTGCCTCCTGATATTTAATTACCTTATTATAAACTTTATCTTTTTTTGTTTGATTATTTTATTTTTATTTTTTTAATAATTTATTTTTATTTTTTTTTATAAACATATAATGTATTATTAGCCCCAGGGGTACCTGTCTGTGAATTGCCAGGTTTACACACTTCACAGCACTCACCATAGCACATACCCTCCCCAATGTCCATAGAAACTTTACCTTTTTTAAGAAAAAAAAAAAAGAAACAAATTCTTGTCACATGTGAATGAATTAAACAAATCTCAAAAATTAAGATTTTATGAAACTAAATAGTTAATAAGCAAATACTGTAATGACATAGTTTGCTAATGAAGAGTAAAATTTCATTTAGGTTAAATTAAAATTGGCCCAAAGATGTCGGACAAAATACATATTTGAATTCAATTAAAAAAAACAGAAATACTTGTTAAAACTACCAGATTGTTTATAACTATGAAATAGTAAATATGACAAATATGATTCCTTCAGGCAGTAAGCAACTAATAGATTAATACTGGGGAAATAATGAATACCAGAGAATAGTGACATAAAATACATTAAAGCTTGAGCCGAACAGGTTTCTTACGTATTTAATCTCTAATATTAAATACTTAATTTAAAAAATTTCCATAGTTTGAGAAATATTAGCTTAATATAAAGTATAAAAACCAGTGACCAGAAAGATAAGGCAAAATATACTATAAATATTATAACCAGGGAGGGGCCCAAGAATATACGTTAAAAATTTGGGGGGAAAACTGAAGAACTTATAAAATTATGTAAATAAAACATGAAGATATAACCAACATATTTTAAATTTGCGAACATATCAATAAAATTTATGATCTTACAGATCCTAATAGATCCCAAGTTATTAAGAGAACACTTTTTGATGGCTATTAAATGAATAATGCATGCCAACACCTCATTCACTGTTAGTCAGAAACTCCTGTATAGTGACTAATACCCTAAAAAGACACAAATATACAGAATTGTCTCAAACATATTAATGGCTTAATAATTATTAATAAACTTAAGAAAACATGAAATACACATAATTTTTAAAAAGGCTCAAAGACAAAATTAAGATGTTATTATCTTTTTATGCTGCCCAAGGCTTTTAACAATATGTTACGGACAGATCAGATAAAGGTCATCCCTTGCTAGCCAGACTCTCCTATTTCCCCCCCCCCCGCCAAAGATTTTATTTATTTATTTGACAGAGAGAGAGAGATCACAAGCAGGCAGAGCACCAGGCGGGGGTGGGGTGGAAGCAGGCTCCCCACTGAGCAGAGAGCCCGATGCGGGGCTTGATCCCAGGACCCTGAGATCATGACCTGAGCTGAAGGCAGAGGCTTAACCCACTGAGCTACCCAGGTGCCCCTGGACTCTCCTATTTGTTATCATAATATACCAACCAAAAAATAAATGAGTTTGGGTAATATGGTATTTCTCACTATCTGGAGTTTCTGCTGGAATTCTCACTGTATCTCAACCCATGAGTCATACAAATATGAATTGTGAGGGATATATTTCATATAGAAATATATCATGTCAAAGCATATCTGATATAATTTCAAACAGGATTATATCATATTTGTAACAATCTGCTATACTATGATAGAATTAATGTTATTTCTTCAAAAACACTAACAAATTATTGAAAAATAATCAAACAGTTTATTTATTTATTTATTTATTTGACACAGAGAGAAAGAGAGAGAGCACAGGTAGGCAGAGAGGTAGGCAGAGGAGTAGGCAGAGGGAGAGGGAGAAGCAGGCTCCCCGCTGAGCAGGAGTTGGTTGTGGTTGTGGGGCTTGATCCCAAGACCCTGGAATCATGACCGGAGCCGAAGGCAGACTCTTAACCACTGAGCCACCCAGGCGCCCCTAATCGAACAGTTTAAAGTAAAATAGATACATCAAAATTAATTATAGGGAAAGTGAGGTCTAAAAAGAGATTTAAAGGTAGGTCCAATAGAAGCAAAATAATGTCAAGAAATAAACAATTACTTGAATAACTCAGTTATTATAGGTAAGTAATCAGAATGGTTCAAGAGTCTCAAAACAGGATTCTGGTTTTTTTAATTTTTATTTTTAAAGATTTTATTTATTTATTTATTTGACAGAGAGAGAGAGATCACAAGTAGGCAGAGAGGCAGGTGGAGAGAGAGAGAAAGGGAAGCAGGCCCCCAGCTGAGCAGAGAGACCGATGCGGGACTCCATCCCAGGACCCTGAGATCATGATCTAAGCCAAAGGCAGAGGCTTAACCCACTGAGCCATCCAGGTGCCCAACATGATTCTGTTTAAGAGGACTTTTTAAAATATGAGCATCTAACTTATAACAATATAGAAAGGTCCCTAGAATGGCATTTTAATTGGCTGGCAAAATACCAGCATTTTATTGTCAATAAAATAACCACAATTATCCAGCAACCTAACAGTTGTTAGAACTCTTTAATATGTTTTCCTCTCACGAGAATACAAGTTCAATGATGGCAGAAAGTTGTGTCTATTTTATTCATGAATGATCCAAAGTGTTTAAAATAGTGCCTGACATAAAGATTAGCTAATGCTGTAGAGTAAACTGGTAAGAAAAATATTTGTGTGGGTTAAAAAGAAAAGATTATTTTTGGTCTGAAGACATAATCACAAGAAAAGTTCACAAAAATGATAGAAGAAATATATTCAGGATGTTAAAGCACTTGTTTTGACAATTTTCATCTACTCTCCAGCACCTGGCTGGCAAAAGGTAACATTCAAGAGTCATTTGTTAAATACATGAAGGAAAGGATGATAGCAAATGTTATAGGTTGAACTATGTATGTATCCCCCGACCCCCAAAAAATTCCTATGAAGTTCTAATCTCTAGAATCTCAGAATATGACCTTATTTGGAAATAGTATTGTTGCAGATATAATTAGATAAGATAAAGTCATACTGGAGTCAGGTGGGCCTTTAGTCCAATATGACTGATCTTATAAAAGGGGAAAATTTGGACATAGAGACAGACATACACAGAGGAAGCATGGCGTGCGGAAATGAAGGCAGGGATCAGGGTGATGGCATCTATATGCAAAAGAATGACCAAGACTGCCGGCAAACCATCAGAAGCAAGGAGAGAGGCATGGACCAAATTTTTCCTCAGAGCCATCAGAAGGAACCAACCCTGCTGACAAATTGATCTGAAACCTCTAGCTTTCAGAACTGCAAGACAATAAATTTCAGTTTGTGGTATTTTGTTATCGCAGCCTTAGCAAACCAATATGGCAAGACAGAAAAAGAAAGATGGAATTAGAAGTAGGAAAGCCCCTAGGCAGACAAGGAACCTTAATACACGAAGGGGTAGAACCCGAAGCAGACGGCTGTGAATGCTTTAGGAAGACCTTTCTTAAAAGTCTGAATTTTCCTTCTCCTCAATAATATTTTGAAATGTTAAATTAACTCTACTCCATCCATTCTCAATTTTTCCAGTAAAACATTCAATGATTCGTGTATTCTTGGGACACAGCTTCATATCCCAAAGATTAAAGGTAGCCCACAGTTTACATGAAAACTGCAATTCTTAAAAACATTAAGTGTCTGTTGATATTCTCAGTGTTATTCTTTTTTTTTTTTTTTTTAATATTTTATTTATTTATTTGAGAGAGAGACAGTGAGAGAGAGCATGAGCAAGGAGAAGGTCAGAGAGAGAAGCAGACTCCCTGCGGAGCAGGGAGCCCGATGCGGGACTCGATCCCGGGACTCCAGGATCATGACCTGAGCCGAAGGCAGTCGTCCAACCAACTGAGCCACCCAGGCGTCCCTCAGTGTTATTCTTTTGTCTATCAGAAGCCAGTCAGAGACATGGACAATTTCATAAATCTGAAGATGTTGCAAAGGGATCTCCTACAAAGTGACATTGACAGGTGGACATTGAGAGGAGACAGGCTTTTGCTATCAATGTCACAATTTCTGAAACTAAGATATATTCCTTCTTTGGAGAAAAAAAAAGAATCTGCTACAAATGCTTATATTTCTATCAAGGACAAGTAGAAAAGAGTAATTAAATTTACCTTCCCCTACTGAAAGTAAGATGAAACAGATGAGGCAGAAAAAAATATAAAGAAAGTGGAAATGACAAGCTTCATCAAGTGGCACTAGTAACTGTTCAGTGATCTTTTCATTGATTCAGCTCTATTAATGAAAGAAAACTTACTTCGGCCACTGGAAAAAGTTATAAAAAGACTATAGATTAGGATTGGAACGAAAGTACAAATATTATAAAATAATACCATGAGGCTTTTTCATAAAAGATGAAGCCACAGTTTAACTTAGCTGTCGTACAATCTATGACCACGAGATTCCACACATGTATTTTAATAATCATGCTGTCATATAAAGTGATTTTTAGAAGTTTAAATAAAAACAATTCTTTGGGAAGCTAAACTGCTAATGTTCTACATCTTCCTTTCATAATTTAAGTTCAGTACCTTCTATCTGTGGCACTTCACCATGAAGCTTGGCTTTGCTGGAGAAAGGTGCATTCTGTAGCACTAATGCAAAGAGAGATGGGATCAAGGACTGCAAAGCAGAAAGATACATGTGGAGCTTATGTTCATCCAGCCCGTGCTCTCCTTCCTGAAACATAAGGAGGTGGAAGCTAGTTTTAGTTTTCTGAAATTAGGTATTTATAATGCTCTTCCTCTCTGTGGCTATGAATAAAACATTTAAAGATCCGTATGGTAGACTCATAGCATAGCACCTAATGGAGATGTCCATGAATCTTTTCTTAATTTCTTTTCTTTTTTTTTCTTAATTTCTCTAAGTACATGAAAATGTGAAGAAGCACTAAGGCACTATAAAAGTAATATAATTTTTTATATTGAAAACTTTACGGTGGACATCAGTCATTTCCATTTGTATGAAACTTTTTTTATAGGTTTTTTTTTTTCTTTTAAGAGGATCTTATCCTTTGAAATTTTGTAAGTCGGGATAAAGAAATTGAAGTGAGCCACATGAATCATTTTAAATCTTCAACGGTTAAACCAGCAGCAGTGTTTGCTATTTTCCTTTGACTTCCAATCTTTTACAGATTTGGTGTCGTCTATATTTGCCAGCACTGAAAGCATTTTAAAATAATTCAAAGCACAGATGAAATGTAGGAGAAAAAATTTCAAAAGGAAACAAAAGAAAGAGAAAACAGAAAGAAAAAAAGAGTAAAAGGATCGGTATGGAGCACAGAAACCACATGTTCAAGTAGAAAATAGAATCATTAGAGACAAAAGTGTTTACTGCTATTCAAATCCACTTGCGATGTCATTACTGTGCTGTAAAATAACCAACTGCGTCAGAAATACCGGACACATGAGTTACATACCATCAACTTCTAAATTAATCTCTTCATGGAAGAATTACCTATGCTGAATACTACAGATATGTTTAACAGCAAAATGGAATTAACCATGTTATGAAATGGAAAAAGAAAAACAAAGGTATGGATAATTTTCAGGTAGAAGGAATGTAAACATTAAAAAAAGTGCTTTAAAAAATTTCCTAGGTTTCACAAAAAGATATACTTCAGTCTAGTTATCCATAGTTTTTTAATACCCATTTTTAAATTTATAGAAAAAAACAGCTCAATTTTTAAAATTAAATAAATATGTGTGGATACATATAAGACTGTCTACAGACTAGTTACGAGGCAAGAGCCTTATAGATTCTTTAAAATCTGGGGGTAGAACGGTAAGAGTTTGGGATCAGTGACCCAAACCTGTCATTTAACGGCTATAAGACCTTGGGCAGGTTCCCTTGATGCTCAGTTTCCACACCAAAACCAAAATAAAATTCAAAGAGTTGTAAGAATGAAATAATAATGTTTTATTTATAAGGTATTTACTCAAATGCATATAAGAGCCATTAAAGAAACGTTAGTTTTTCTTCTAGACCCTAAAAGGGACCTTTAATATAAAAATTAAATCAAGAAGTTACTACCTTTTTTTCAACTTTTCTTCCGTTCTTTTACTCAGTTAAAAAAAGTGTTTAATGAACTACTGCAGTGAGGGAAACACAGTTAAAGCATTTGACATCGTGTAAGAAAGCTTTAGAGACTAGTATTTGAGTCAGCTCTGCATTCCGGGAACTGGAGCTGATACATTACCCCAAATCTTTAAATCTTCAGAAGAGACAAGGCAGAGCTAGCTTTCTCAATAATGTACAAGTGAGTTCCACAAAGGTGCTACTTCATTTCCTTTTTCATCTGGCTTTTGCAAAGCAGAACTTCCTCAAATCTCTCTTGGCTCCACTCCAATAAAAATCTTTAACTGGTAAATTATCAGAATGTTTAGCCAAGTGGTACTTTCTGTCTTTGCTCTCCAGCATTCTTTCAAGATGATTTAGAACACACCTTTTAATTTCTGTAAACTGTATACATAAAGAAAGCATTTACCCTGAGAAGTTTTTCTATCTTGTTCAGCAATGTAGGTATAAGATGAGACTGTAAATTTCCAAGTTCTGTAGTCCAGGCAGCGTAAGCCGGTAAAAATACTTGATGTGTTGCACTAACTACTCTTTCTGAGGGATCACCCAAGGCTGACAGCAACAATTCAAAACCCTGCCAAAAAGAAACAGGTAAAATTAAGATTTTTTTTTTAAGATCTTATTTATTTATTTGACAGACAGAGATCACAAGTAGGTAGAGAGGCAGGCAGAGAGAGAGGAAGGGAAGCAGGCTCCCTGCTGAGCAGAGAGCCCGACGCGGGGCTCGATCCCAGGACCCTGAGAAGATTTTTAGAAGAATAAACTTCCAAAAAAAAAAGCTCCTCAATAAAAAAGCATTAAGTATACACTGTAGCACATTTAGAAAACATTTAAGCAAGAAAGCAAGCCATCCATAATCCTATCATTCCTATTTTCTTGAAAGAAAATGTCACGTATCCACTGATGTGGAAACCAAAGAGAAGAGGTGGTAAATATGGCATGCATGTTGCCAATGTCCTGCCACAAAACTATGGTGGAGATTGTAAATGAATCCTAGCACTCTTTCTTCTGAACTGAAGAAGTAAAACAAGGCAGCCGTAAGCTGACATAACTGCCATTCCTACTATGTATTATTGAGTAGCTGAATCAGAGATCTGGCATATTAACTTATTTGGAATTTTGTAACGGAATAAATGGGTTCATTCTGAAAAACATACCTGTTGATATTTGTCTGGATCATCAATGTATCCCATAATGATACCGAGGCTTTTGATCACAGCTTCTCTTACTAAATCTGCCTTATCTTCCATTAACATTTGTTGCAACATTGAGAGAACCAAGGAGCTACGTATTTCTTTCTGAAAGCAAACAAAAACATGTTTTTACTATTTATTTTATGCTAGCAGCAGAAAAGCACAGAAAATAATAAGATGGACATCCACATATTCTACACCCAGATTAAATACATTCATATTTTGCTGGTTTTTTGTCTTCATTTTCCAAAGACCTAAGACATTACAGATACAGCTTGTCTGATTCTCTTCACCCTCTCCCTCTTCCTCCATCCTCCCTAAAGATAACATCTACCTTGAATTTGGTATCATCTTCCAACATGTTTTTCTATCTACTAAATATGTGCAAATCCTTCAAATCCTACAGCACATAGTAGTAGGCACTTTTGGCAAATGAACAAAGTCAACGCTGCATTAAATGGAAAATGACTCTGCTATTAATACCTGCCTTTAACTCAGAGAGGAGCTCTCAGAGTTTTAATAACAGCAGAGATTACAAATATTTCTCCGTTAATCAAAAACATTTGTCTTGGGTAGGAGTGTGGAAACATTCTAAAATCCTGGTGTTCCTAATTTTGAAGAACTAAGAAAAGAACAAGATGATAAAATATGAGAGCAAACTTCAAAAATACTTCAAAGGGAACTGCGTTGCTAATCTCAGATGCTACTCTTTAATGTCAACCACTGCTGTATCTTAATTTCACACAATTTTTTCTTTTGTTTGTTAAAGAACGTTTTAGCCCAGTGAATTCTGGAACACTGAAAAGAAATAAAATTTTAAAAAAAATGAATGTTTTAGTCTAATTAATGGCTGAAGATAAAATAAAGAGCTATCATTATATAAATTCTTGCCCTTACTTCCTTTCTCTGGATCATTATTACAATTTGATCAGTTTACAAAATTCTTCAAATCTAAACTTGTTTAGGTCCTTTTCACATCTAATGATTAGAATACAATAAAGACAGAGGATGTGACCATTTTCATAAATTTACAGTGTAATTTTAGTATGCAGAGCAAGGTCTAACAGTCATCTTTAAATGACCTTTTTTTTTTTAAAGATTTTATTTATTTATTTGACAGACAGAAATCACAAGTAGGCAGAGAGGCAGGTAGAGAGAGAAGAAGGGGAGCAGGCTCCCCTTGAGAGCAGAGAGCCCGATGCGGCGCTCGATCCCAGGACCCTGAGATCGTGACCTGAGCCGAAGACAAGGCTTTAACCCACTGAGCCACCCAGGCGCCCCTAAATGGCCTAGTTTTTGGTTTGACTTCCTAGAAACTAAAATATATGTAATTTTACCAAATTTTGGTCACATTTAGCTTGGCGAGTATGTATTTTAGTACAGCCTTATTTACTTATCCTCTAGGATAAAAACTGCCCAAAAACTATCTTGGGAGATCTTAAAAGGGCTTCTGGATTGGTATTAGCCTCTGCAGCAGGATGGAGATAAGTGAACTTCAGCTGGGTATTTGCTTCACATTGGTCTGGGCTGAGGTCAAGTGCAGCAGTTAGCTTCAGTATGCCATAGGGAACCCAAAGGACAAGTCAGGAGGCGTTACTCCATTTAAGCCATGACCACACTGAGATTTTACTGTTAGCAACTGTGGTGGGATATAAGGCAAAGGAAGATCCATAGAGGATACATTAAGTCTATTACTAATACTGCTTAACATTCTAATATCCGGGGCAGTGTAGAACAGTTTATTTATCCCCTTCATGCATGTGATGTTCATCTCTGCTTGGAACAGTAAATAAAAAGATGCTCAAAACTGACTCATGTATATTTATCTACATGATTTATCACAACACCAAGATACCAGTTTTCTCCTATGAGATGGGAAAATATTAAAAAAGATTTCATCATGTCCAGTTCCTGGAGAAGGTATGTGAAAATAGGAACTCCAGTGAACTGATGACAGGAGTATAAATCTGTGCAGTCTGGGTCGGAGCCAATTAACACTGTCAAAATAAAAGAATGCAAATGCTGAAAGAAGGAAAATGTGGAGTTATTGACAGAATAGAAATTTAAAAATGCAAGTTACCCATACAAGAACCTACCAATAGTATCTACTGTCAGGGATACAGAATATTATTATATATAGTATGATTAATTTGGGGTAAGAAAAATTCAAATATAAAAATGCAAACTGGAATATGCATAAATTTTTATTTTCTCCAAGAACTGATTAAAAACTATTAACAGTATATGGATATCTTTGGAGAGAATGACTAGGTAGGCCACAGAAGCAGTCTTTGATTTTCATTTTGTTCTTTTCTATACCATATGAAAACTTATTTTTAATAAAATAAAAAGAAATATTACTGGAAGTGAAACTATGGACTAGTCTTTTCTTCTTTATATTTTTCTGAATTAAAAAAATAAGAAATTTTGCTTTTAAAAAAGACAACCAAGTCATCTTGGTTTCTCACTCTTCACCAAAGAATATGAGGTTAATAGTAAGTATGACATAAATGGCTCATGCATTATCATACAATTCCATTTTTTATATCATTTTTAAGAACAATCTTACAAAACTGACCATTTAAGGCAAGGGCCAACAAACTCTGTAAAAGGCCAGATGGTACATGCTTTTGGCTTTGGGGGCTGTGAGTAGTTGTAGTAGTTGTTGTAGTAGTAGTTGCTACTACTCAACTCTGCTGTTACAGTGTGAAAGCAGACATAGACAATACATAAACAAATGGGTATGTGTTCTGATAAAATTTTATTTACAAAAACAGGCTATGGACTAGATTTGGTCTCCAGACTGTAGTTTGTCAAGTCCTCCTTTAAACTACAGTTGTTAAAATAACGATGATGTCACTTCATTCCTCTACCTACTCTAAGCCCTGGACCTATGGGAAGATATCTAAAAGAGCCTAACAGTCCAAAGGTCTTCATCTTTTTGGTGGAAGGATTCATTTAAAAATTAATGAGCACTGCAAACTGCTTTTATTTGGGTAGGTAATATCTACTGACATTTATCGTATTAGAAATTACACTAAGAAATTTAAAAACAACAGTAAAATCATTTAAGGTTAGCAACATGTAAACATTTTAATGAAAATAACCTTATATGGGGCGCCTGAGTGGCTCAGTGAGTTAAAGCCTCTGCCTTCGGCTCAGGTCATGATCCCTGGGTCCTGGAATAGAGCCCCGCATCAGGTTCTCTGCTCTGCAGGGAGCCTGCCTTCCCCCTCACCCAGCCTGCATCTCTGCCTACTTGTGATCTCTGTCTGTCAAATAAATAAAAGATCTTTGAAAATAACTTTAGAAGACAAAAAAATTGGTGAGAATGGTGCTTTATATTTTGCTGCAAATCACTTTAATGTCTGACTTAAAAGAAGACAGGTAGATTCTCTGCTCTGCATTCCACTGATATGATACATTTCTTCAGTTGAAGTTTTTAAGAAAATCTGGCCCCACAAAGACATGTAATTGAAAAAGGGAGCATTTTAATAGCCTTTCCTGATAAGAATATATATTTTAATTCTACACTAAAACTGGACAAGTGGTAGTTTCTTAAAGGTTAGATGCAATGTAGAATCTGAAACCATGATGTTGTTCCTTGCTAATAAACTCTAAATTCTGGCATATTAAATTCCACTAGTCGGGCACCTGGGTGGCTCGGTCTTTAAGTGTCTGCCTTCAGCTCAGATCATGATCTCAGGGTCCTAGGATTGAACCCCACACTGGGCTCCAGCCCACACTGGGCTCCCTGCTCAGCAGGGAGTCTGCTTCTCCCTCTTCCTCTGCCTGTGCACCCCCGCTTGTCCCCTGCTCTCTGTCAAATAAATAAATGAAATCTTAAAAAAAAATTCCACTAGTCTATCTTGGACTTTGCCCCTCTTTTTACCCATGTGTGATTTTGAGCAGTATGCACTGGTCACTTGGGAAACATTGTACCACACACTTGCTCAGATGCTCTTCAATACTGACACATTTTATTATAATCTCAAAAAATCACATTTGTTAATATCACCAGTGATCTCAGAAATGTATTTATATACTTAGAAGCTATGGAGCCCATGGTGGCAGATAATAAGTTTTCCAAAATTCTTGTTCTCACTTCAAAGTTGCAATTTTATTATTGGCAATAAATACCATCTACTTTTTTTTTTTTTTTCCATAAAGTGGTAGGCTCATTTCACTCATTTCCATAAAAAAGTCTGCTAAATACAAGAGCTTGTGTGTTAGTGGTTGGTCAAGTCAAATCAGCATCTCATAAAAAAAGGCAACTAGTTCAAATCACAATTCAAGCCTATTTGAAATGCTTTTCCTGAAATCGCCGTTATACCTCAGGATACAGCAAAAGGCATTGATATTAGTATTTTCTATTCTGTCACACAAAATATTAAAAAGACACATACTCAAGGGTCAAAATTTAGTAGAATTAATAATTTTATTGATTCATCAAGGTTATTTTTTTTTTTTTTAAAGATTTTATTTATTTATTTGACAGAGAGAGATCACAAGCAGACAGAGAGGCAGGCAGGCAGAGAGAGAGAAGCAGGCTCCCTGCTGAGCAGAGAGCCCGATGCGGGACTCGATCCCAGGACCCCGAGATCATGACCCGAGCCGAAGGCAGCGGCTTAACCCACTGAGCCACCCAGGCGCCCCATCAAGGTTATTTTTAAGTGAAACTGGCTTCTTCTGAGTGCATGGCAGTGAAGCATACATTACATTATCAGTATATTTGGGGGTGACTGCCTTGATCAGTCCTAATGCACTGGCACTGTTGCCCATTACAGCTTTTGCACCGATCATGTAAATGTAAACACAGAGAAAAAGATGAAAAATATTTTAATGTTATGAAAGTAATTTTCAACTCATGGACCTCTTTGAAAGTATCTCAAAGAACCTCCCAGGGTCCTTGAACCACAAACTTTGAGAACTGCTGATAATTTAATATATTTAAGACTCATGCAAAATGGTTAATATATACCTGTCTGCAAAGCCACATTATATCAACATGAGCCTTATCTTTTTGGCTCATCTTCTTCCTTTATTAGGATAGCATGCCCTGGGATAATTTGAATTAAAATGTATAAGTCAAGAAACCTTGAAAAAAGGTTTCTCTATTATTAAAAGGAAAAAAGGTTTTTAAGAAAAAATGACAATTCTTACGGGAAGGTAAGGTGCCAATGCTCCACAGGATTCTGCCACGAGCAGTCGTCTTTCTGGGTATTTGTGGTTAATCTAGAGTAAAAAATACACAAATCAAGTATGAACAACATAATCTCCTTTCCTCCAAGAGGGAATTACTTCTCACAATAAATCCTGTTAAGAATGCGATAAAGCACCTTTTTTTTTTGTTTTGTTTTGTTTTTGTTCCCACTTCTGGGAATCCCTGTGTGCCTATGTCTGAATCAGGAATAAGGGAATCAGAGAGAGCCTTAAAAATGAGGTCACAGGGGTTATCTGTTAAAGAAAAAAGGATAAAGCAAAGATGAATACATGGCATGGTGTCTAGAGGTAGTGGGCTTACCTACAACTAGGCTTTCCTTAAGATGTCAGAAGCACCTTTCTCCATCCCTAGCAACATTAGTTTATTTTTAAATTTGAAAAACTCAGCTTCTGGATATTATAGATATGGCTTATAATATGTGCCAGGAGTGACTCATCAATTCTCTTTTTTAACTAAGGGATTAGGAAGTAAGTTAATCAATGATTTAACCAGAGCCCTTGACTAGTGACATGATTTTGTTTTTAACGTAAGCAGACTTCAATCCATTCCTGTTTGTATAAGCAAGATGAAAGGGTTCTGCTGCTGTGATGGCTACACTGAACCTTAATAAAAAATAACAAAAAAAATGACACATACTGGGTTTTGTTCCCATATGTCTTCTTCATAGAATATAAATCTTTCCTTGACTGGAAAAGAAGTATATCTGTTCTCATATTCCCATATGAAAAGGTGACATAATTCATTAATGTATTGGATGCCTAAAATTAAGAAAAGAAATTACATAGCAATCTACTGGGCAACAAACAGGAGGTAGTCGGCTAGACAGATCCCCGATATCCATGTTTATTCAAGTAATAGAAGAGATGGTGGTAAAGATGTTTATAACTAATATCTGTAAAATAAATTTTCCAGAAATAGTAACTTCAAAGCAAATGGTTTGAATGTCAAAGTGTGTTATATGTAAACTTTCATTTTGCTTTTCTTTAGTCTAGCTCAATGAGTCTTAAAATTAAATGTACATACTAAAATCAACTTTATCTCTCTATGCTGTAACAAATAGAAAATAAAATTAAGAAAATTCTATTTACAATAGTATCAAAAAGAATAAAATATTTAGGAATAAATTAAGCAAAAAAAGTACAAAAATTATATTCTGAAAGCAACAAAACATTTTTGAAAGAAAACTGAAAAGAACTAAATAGATGGAAAGACATCCTAAATTCATGGGTTAGATGGCTCATTATTGTTAGCATGGTGAGATACTCTCCACACTGATCTATAGATAAAATGCAATCCTTATGAAAATTCCAGATGCCTTATTTGCAGAAATTGGTTAGCTCATCCTAAAATTCACATGGAAATTCAAGGGACCTGGAATAGCCAAAACAAACTTGAACTAAGAGAACTAAGTTCAAAGGTATTTGGAGTTTCTTTTTGGGGTGATAAAACTGTTCTAAAATTGATTGTGGTGGGAGCACCTGTGTGGTGCAGTTGGTTAAGCAGCTGCCTTCAGCTCAGGTCATGATCCTGGGATCCTGGGATCAAGCCCTGCATCAGGCTCCCTGCTCAGCAGGAGCCTGTATCTCCCTCTGTCCTCCCTTGCTTACGCTCTCTTTCTGTCAAGCTCTCTCTCTAAAATTATAAGTAAAATCTTAAAAAAAAACTGATTGTGGTGATGGTTGTACAACTCTGTGGGTATACTAAAAAGCACTAAATTGTACACTTTAAATCGGTATATAATATCTATCTCAAAAGTGCTTAACAAAAAAAAAGAAATGGAAAAAACGATTAGTAATTGTATGTACCTGTGAATAACTGTACAGAATTGTAAATTTAAAATTGTATATGCTGTTCCCAAGTTTGACTTTCAATAATTAGACCCTCACACCCTAAATTAGTATGCACTATAATCTAGGTGACATGAGGAGACTGTCAGAGATAAGAGGACCTTTTATAATGTTCAGTTCAGATATTTTATCTAGATAAAACTCAACTACATTTTAAAGAAAAAAAATGAATACTCAAAGAAACTAGGAATAGAATTCCAAAGGGCCATATGCTTTAGTGATATTCCAGAGACCAGTAATAAGAATAAACGACTATGCTATTTATAAATAAGGCCATGAAATCTGTCTTTATAAGAAAGAAATCCAACTTTTTTAAAAGATGGATAAGTAAGCCACTCAATGACCTAAACACCAAGTCTAAAAAGTCAATGCCTGTGAGTTCTCCACAGGACTGGAATATTAAAATTCAATATAAAACCAAAAGTATTGTGAGTAAATGGGTGAGATGGATTATAAATACAAAAACCTCCCACATCAAAGGTTTATACTTTATATTCTGTATATATTTGCAATATATACAAATGTATAATACATATGTTATTTCTCCCACCCCCTCTACACACATGAAAACACGCATTGGCCTCGCTCTCCCTTGAACCCACCTGAGAGCTTTTGTATTTATACTAACTCACTTCATTCAAATCCTTGACTAATCATTCCTTTCTCAGATTCCTATTCTAACCACCCTTTCTAAAAGAGCACTCTCCATCACTCTCTAATCCTTATTCTGCTTTATTTTTGTCCATAATTTATAATATAAGACATACCATTTATTTCTTTACTCTTATCTCCCCACTAAAAGGTCTTTGTCTTTTGTTCAGCACTGTATGTATTTTGTTCATTACTGTATGTAATGACTACAGCAGTACGTGGCAATGAAACTAGTGTTTCTTAACTATTTGCTGGAAGACTGAAGAAAGCAAAGCATCCCAGAGCATTCTTAAGTGCTATGAAATTACTGTGCCGGACTACAGATACAGGAGCATAATTTAGATTCCACATATTTCCTACTGGCATTTAAAAGAGAAAATAAGAACATTTATAACAGGTTAGAATATAATAGTGAGGGGAAAACCCAATACAGTTATTTACCTGTTCCCAACACTGTGGTAAAAGTTCAGCCTCTACGCGTGTTGGTCCAACATGACGTGCAAATGCCACACAACCCGTCAGTATCATCTGCCTGAAAAATAACATAAATAAACACTTGTAATTGCATGAGAAAGCACAACTTGCTAAGGGTTAAAAAGAGCCAGCTCTGTAATTCATATAACATACAACATTTTTGTACAATCAAATTGGACTTTTCCAACAATGGACTAGGCTGCCACCAAGAAAACGAGTTAGTTAAGATTCCTTCCTCCAGCAGTGACAGCACCATTTGTGAGACACTGAAAGAATTCTCTGTTGGTGTGACGCTTAAACTCATACCTCCTGAATTAACTTCCTATACATGCATTCTGAGATACTATGTCTAATGCTTTAGCTTCTACCGAATTTCAGTTTCTAGACACTAAAACAGCCAGTCATTATTTCCTCAATGTTTCTATAATTATAATCTAAAAACGGTATTTCTTAAATCGGAATTTTATACACAAGACAAATGGGGTAGGCAGCTTCTGACGTGGCTCCCAATGTTGTCTGTCTCCTGATATTCATGCTTTTAGGTCATTCCATATCCTTGAGTGTAGACCGGACTTAATGATTTGCTTTCAATGAACAGAATAATGGCCAAAGTGATGGGATGTCACTTCTGAGATTAGGTTACAGAAGTCTGTGATGTCCATCTTTGGGACCCTCTCTACTGCCTTCTCAGCTGGCATGCTTTGATGAAGTATGTGAGGCCCCGCAGCAAGGAACTTAAGGAAACTCTGGCTGAAAGCCGCTAAGAAACTGAGGACCTCTTCACAAACACAGGAGAAACTGAATCCTGTCCATGATTCAACTATTTGAGTAAGCTCAGAAACAAATCCTTTCAGACTGAGCCTTGACAGGACGACAGCCTCAGCCAACACTTGATTACAGCCTTATTTAGAGACCCCGAAGCAGAGGACCCAGATTAAATGACTCACATAAACTGTAATATAAAAATAAATGTTATTTCAAACCACTTTCTTTTGGGGTAATTTGTTACAGAATCAGTATGTAAATAATATAGTAACTTCACTTGAATTGACAGATTTGAAACTTAAGAAAGTATAAAGCTTTATATATGACTTTTCACTCTTCAGAATGAAGTTCATTTTAAATGACTTTAAAATGCAGAATTATAAACTTTTCCTCTTTTATCTAGTTCAAAACAGTAAAACCTCATGGGGGAAAAAAGTATGTTTTCAATACATGTTTTAAAGTATGCAGCTTCTAAGAAAAACAAATTAGAATGTTTAATTCATATTAATTATAGAAACAGCACTTTAAGCCCAGGCATTGCCCATTGCTACTTCTCAAAATAAGTCAACTTAACTTAAACTGCAAAATGACCTTAAATTTTCTCTCAGGTTAGAAGAGTAACGGCAGACAAAGAGTACCTGGACAACGATGAGGAAAGTATTGAGCCAGTGTATCTTCGTTGTACACTGCCCCTTATTCTCATTTTAATCTGGCATTTTTATCTATCCCATTCCCCTTTATATGTATATTATTGTCTTCTATGCCTATTTCTCAACTTTCCCTTTGCTTTTCTATTTTCTTCTACTTTGGAGAGGCAAACAAAGCGAATAAAAGAAAATGGGGGGGGGGGCGCCTGGGTGGCTCAGGATTAAGCCTCTACCTTCAGCTCGGTCATAATCTCAGCCCTGCATCAGGCTCTCTGCTCAGCAGGGAGCCTGCTTCCCCCTGTCTCTCTGCCTACCTCTCTGTCTACTTATGATCTCTCTCTCTCTGTCAAATGAATAAATAAAATCTTCAAAAAAAAAAAAGAAAGAAAATGGGAAAAGAAATTCTAAGATATACAGACAGAATTTTAGCTGCCTGTCCCCCCAGTGGAAATTGCCCAATATCTGAACACTGTTTTTTTCCCCACTAGTATCTTAAAATCGTGAAAAAGCATATACATTGGTTCCACAAATGCTGGACTTGTGTAATAAATGAATTTATGTAAAATGTAGGCATTTCAACATTTGTAAGAAGTACACACTTGTATGAAAACTTCATGTGAAATAACTTTAATCATGAGCCACCGTCTACATACTAAAGATGTCTAAACTTGCTGAAAAAATATTAGGCCCCTCAAGGCAAACTTCTTAGCCAACAAGAGTTAATTTTAAAAAGTATGACAATTTTGAAATACAGGTTGAAAACAGAAGAGGTCAGATGGCCTATTAACAGATTATTAACAGCATTGGAAACAGGCTTCTGTTATGGTAAAAATTAATGTTCACTTGGGGCACCTGGGTGGCTCAGTTGGTTAAGCATCCAACTGTTGACTTCTGCTCAGGTCATGATCTCAGGGTGCTAAGAGCACCTGTGTGGAGCTCCATGCTCAGCAGGGAGCCTGCTTGAGATTCTCTCTCCCTCTCCCTCCTCTGCCCCCAACTCACACACATTCTCTTTCTCTCTAAAATAAACAAATAAATCTTTAAAAAAAAAAAAATTAACGTTCCCACTTGTAGAAAAATCACAGGACAGGGAACGTTTAACTAGTATTTGATGCAGGTAGAAATATGTTGTCAATTATAGTTGTTAGCAAAGAATAGGCAAAAAGCACCAATACTAAGCATAATATTAAGTTTTTCTTAGGATATAACCGAAGAAGCCTGAGGTTTATTAAGTAAGGAAAAGTAACAATTAATTATACGGTAAATATATTACACTTTGTTAATTATATACACAGTGAGTCAACTGATAGGTATATTTTAATAAGTACTTGTGTTTCTGAAAGGTGAAACATTTAAATGTGAACATGAGTGCTGAATTCCTGTCATAACAGGTAAATTCATTATTTTGTAGGAAAGTACTAACAAAAGTTTATTTCTTTCAAAGAAACATGCAAACCAAAGCTGTTTCACATTTTAAGTAAACGAAGACAAAATTCTAAAATATATTCAAAAGATATTAATGTTTTTCATGTTGGAATAGATCTTCAAATCTAAAGAGAATAAAAGGTCCAAACCTGAAGTAAGGCTAATGGGTACTTCTGGCCACCAGGTGGCAGCTATTAGCTTCACATGTGGAGTCTATGAAAACAGGCTAGAGATCTAGAGGGTTTTGCCTTGTAAATTTAAAAATAATGTAATCAATGGTATTTAGTTATTAATCAAGTCATGAAGAGAGGGAATAGTATTTTTATCTGACTTTACTTAAATTCAATTAACATGTAGCATTATCATTAGTTTCAGATGTACTTTGGTTATGCATCAGTTGCGTATTAAACCCAGTGCTCATTAAATCACATGCCCTTAATGCCCATCACCCAGTTAAACACCGTCCCTCCACTCTGGCCACCCAGCAACCCTCAGATTGTTTCCTAGAGTTAATAGTCTGGGAATAGTATTTTTCAACGCGAAAATAGAATATTAATTTTCCTGAACAGCACCATCAAATTATTCTATAAAATTTTCAGTTTGCAATGAATAGTGATTTAATTTGCTTTCTTTCTATTTGACCAGCCTGTGAGGTGCTGGTGCAGATTCATCCTGAATGGATCCTGAAAGGACATATTTCTCTGCTTGCCCAGGTATATTTTGGTAAGAAGGGGAAAGAGATATATACTCATAAGGTTTTAAAGTCTGGATGGCTGTTTTTATTCTCAGAGTTGAGAGATAATTTGTATTTAAAATTTTGAGCTTTACTTGTTCTATGGTTCACTCTTAAGATTTTCTAACATTTTCAGATGAGGTAAAAATGCTGACAATCAGTGAAATGAGTACTGAATATATAAAGTTACCTAATCATAAGGTACTACTGTTTTGCAAAAGTATTCATTAAAATAGAAAATTGTAACACAGAAAAACATTTCAACTGCCCAATTTTACCCATCCATTGCTTATTTAACCCACTGACCCACAAGGATGTTTTGTTCATGTTCACGTTTGCATAGCTTCACTTAAAAGTTTCACTTTTATTTAAAGGTTTTATTCTCTGTGGTAAACATCATTGTTGCTTGACCAAAACCTATTGCCAATTCTTCTGGAAAGTCACCCTGATGTGTATCCCTTCACTACTCTCAGATATAACTCATTTCTTCACTCAGGTATCAATAGTTGAGATTTGAGTCACAACTAACAAAACAAAATACTGTATTCCTGTAGCCATACAGTTAACTGGTTTAAAAATAGCCCAGTGATGCAGAAATTCATATATTAAATATTTAACTTCTGTAGAGAAGTCATGATATATCTAGTTCATCTGTGGGAAAAGGGGGAATATTAAGCAATTCTTTGAAAGCAAAAGTGAAAGACAAAGGCGAAGAGATATCTGAATCAGAAGTCTAAAGGTAACTAAAATAAAAGTGTACAAATCCAACATGAGTAACTGGAATAGTAAGAATGGAAACACTAAAAAAAAAAAAAATAGGAAACACTGCAGAACTCTGTGAATGGGGCCAATGTTTCCTCTGCTTATTAAAATAAATACTGGGACAGAAAGAAGGCACTTAGATTAAATGCTAATCATGATGCCAAATGAGTAAAATTAATAAATCAACATTATATGTGTTTCCCAAAGAAGTAGTCAGACCTACCTTTGCTCATCATCTGGCCTCTTGATCAAATTGAAAAGTATGTGGAGAAGCTGGTCTCTTTCTTTAGGCTCAGGATGCAGGCACGCTGTACACAATATGAGGGGGATCAACTCCTGAAGAAATATGAAGGTGGAAAAATGCAAAGTAAAAATGCATTGCAAAATATTCATTTCCCCCCCCCAGAGTATTCTTAAATGGACATTTAAAATGAAATAAACCTCAACATACAAAAGAGCAAGTTCTAATTTTGTAAAATAAGTAATTCAAGAAAAATCACTGAAACATGTATTTATGTGTTGGTTGTAGAGAAAGTGTGAATCACACCGTAATCAAGTTACTAAAGATTCAACGAACCTTACTTCCTCATCCAGTCCTTTCTAATGGTCTACTAGCTTTTGCACTAAGTAACATTCTATCTTACTTTAAGCTGATACGGTAATTTTAATTTTGGAAGTCTTTAAAAAAAAACTTGCAGAAGTTAACTATATTTTAAAATTTAAAAAGCTAACAGAAAATGAAGACAACTCATTCCACTTCCATAAATACAATATTATGTCTTAATTAAGACTACCTATTTAAAAATTTTGTACCCTTCCCACATAACCCCATGGCTAATTAAAAAGAAAACCATTTCCACGGGTGCCAAACGCTCTCAGCATTGCTGTAGAAGTATTAGTAGAAATATTTTATGTTCAAATGGAAATTTTAGTAATATCTTATTTATTGCACATTCAACATGCAGTGGTAAATTCAGTATTTTGTATAAAAGTAATAACAAAAGTTTACTTCTCTCTCCCCAAGAAATATGTAAATCAAAATTGTTCCACATTTTAAATAAACTAAGACAAAATTCTAAAATACATTCAAAAGATATTAATGTTTTTCATTTTGGAACAGATTTTCAAATCTAATGAGAATAAAGGTCCAAAAATGTTAAATATTTTTGGAGGAAAACTTTTTCTAAGTTGTAAAAATAATATTCTATAGTTAATCTAAGGAAATCAGTGTGATGTAATAAGAACAGAATGATTACTCCCACCATTTCTTTTTCCCATCTATCTTCCTACCCACCAAAAAGTGCTAGTAGATTTAAAACAGAAACTGATGGGGGTGCCTAGGTAACCCAGTAGGTTAAGCGTCTGCCTTTGGCTCAGGTCATGATCCCAGCATCCTGGAATGGAGCCCAGCATAAGGCTCCCTGCCTGGAGGGGAGTCGACTTCTTCCTCTCCCTCTACCCCTCCACTCTACTTGTGCTCTCTCTCAAATAAATAAATAGAATCTTAAAAAAATAAATATAAAAGGAACTGATCACTATGTAATAAGGTACAATATCCTGTAGAAAAGGCTACACTGTAGAAGTATCTTCCCATTCTGAAGATGCTCCCTTAGAAAAGGATAATCAAATTTTTAGCAGAGTTGAAACTACAGCTTAGAAGAATGACTACAAGTCCCTTCCCATTATTTCTAAAGTCTTTATGTATTATTTTAAAATTATAATTACCTGGTACAAATCTTTAATTGAAGGTACGAAGATATAGATAAGAGCTAAGAATAAATCTGATATGAGCTGATCTGATATGAGCTGACTGAGAAGTAAGAACAAATTTAAAACATTTATTCTGTCATCTTTGTATTTGGGCCCTCTGTAGATTTTACATTAGTGAGCAAATGAAAAGCAAAACTAATAAAAAGTAATAAGGGAAAAAAATTTTGTACTGGGAATGGAAGAAAAGTATAGATCTTATGTTGTTAAGTAATGTTTTTGCCAGAGATTTGATGTGATGCTTGAAGCATTGGTCTTGACTTTGTAGGAGAAAAATAAACAACCTTTGATGAAATACTAGAGTAGGAGATTATTAATAACAAGGACTATCCTAATCCTTAGAGGATTCCATTTGGACTACTAAGAGCCAACGATACTCATGAGAGGACTGAGACGTTGCATCAGCATATCCCAGTGAGAGAAGAACCTTAAAGATGAAAAAGCAGTTATTCTAGAAGGCACTAAGAAAAGGAGAAAAAATATTAATGCATGAAAATCAAGAAAGACTCTCAATATTTTATTCGAATTTTCCCCTCATGTCAGATCCTTCTTTCCTGAGTTTTCTTGCTTCTCCTCAACCTTCTTCCTGTTTCCATTGTCTCTACATACGTACTCTTCCATTCTCCTCCTACTGTATTTCTCTTTAAAGTTTTGTAATGTAGGTATTTGCTATAATTGCAAATGCATACATATACACTGTTGAAAATATAAAGTACAATTATTTCGTTTTATCTGAAAACAAGCATAGCAAAATAATTGTTACTATTTATTCTTTGTGCCTTTCATTTTGAGATCCTTAATTAAAGAGGAAGGTTATATCCTACATTAATATAAAGAATCTTTTAACTGAAATATGTGCCAAAACTGAAAACCTAATGAAAAATCACAAACTTCTCTGATTTTTAGTTTCTTCAAGTAAAACATAAAAAGAATTAAGATCAGGGCAGAAATGGGAATATTTCATATACAATCTGCAATTTCCTTCTTTATTGCTAATGCAGAATTATTAGTTTTTCCAAGCTGGGCTCACAAAGCCTTAGCACTTACCAAAGCACTTCTCAACACAGCAGCTATTACCAACCAATCCGAACTGACACATGGGAGGAAAACCTGTCACTTCTTGTACCCTTATGAATTTACCTTCTTGTATGTTTATGAAGTTAGGACTTTGAAGGAAAATACTTTTCACTTTTCTGAATCACAGTAATAAGTTATATTGCCATTTGCTTTCATTTCTTGCTGGCAAAATTAACAACATATGGGAAGTCATTGCCAATCATTTTTGGATATTCCATGCCCAGGAGAATTGAGTACATCTTGGCACATTAATGGCTCAAACAGTTATAACTCAGTGTATAACGTAGGTCAGTCTCTTCCTCTTAAAGAAATATAGAGCTGAGAAGAGGCCCAGTAAGTGATGGCAGAAAAAAGTGGAAAGAGTAGTCTGTTTCTCACAGGATCATCAAGGATTTTAATTGCTAAGTTATGACTGTCTCCAAATATTTTAATTATTCACAAGTTCTATTTGTACAAATTCATTCATTTATTCAAAAGTTCTATTTGTACCACCCTGATTCTGGGGGCGCCTGGGTGGCTCAGTGGGTTAAGCCGCTGCCTTCGGCTCAGGTCGTGATCTCGGGGTCCTGGGATCAAGCCCCACATCGGGCTTTCTGCTCAGCAGGGAGCCTGCTTCTTCCTCCCTCTCGCTCTGCCTGCCTCTCTGCCTACTTGTGATCTCTGTCAAATAAATAAATAAAATCTTAAAAAAAAAAAATCCTTAAAAAAAAAATTCTGTACATATGTATTTGCTGTTGTATATTCACATTTATTTACTGTGAATTCATCTCTTTCAAGCCTCTGAAGTATTAATATATCCACATCATAATCTATTAAGTCTGTATTCACCATTTTCACACTATTCATAAATATATAGATATGAACCAATATTCTCTCTTCGGTATCATGTCTCCAACGAAGAGGTCTAGTGTTTTAAAAACTTTCCTTATAATTCTTGAATGAAACATTTAAAAAGTGATAGCTAAATTTCCTTCAGGAGGCAAGGTGGTAGCTTCTTTTTTTTCCCCAAGGTGATGGTGGTTTAAAAATGACTTTAAATGATTACATACAAAAAAATGTATTGAGAATAGGAGAGCAATGTCAGACATCTTATCTAAAGCTCAAGAATGTTTCACATGGGATGCATATGTGGCTCCATCCGTTAAGCAACAAACAGGTCATGATGCGGAGGCCCCCCGTGCAGGGTTCCCTGCTCAGTGGGGAGCCTGCTTCTCCTTCTCCTCTACCCCTGCTTGTGCTCTCTTTCACTCTCTTGCTCTCAAATATATAAATAATCTTAAAAAAAAAAAGGAATTTTTCACATGAAAAGATCCTTAAGCAAATCAGATTTAATACTGCACGTTGATAAAAAAAAAAACAGTAATAACCATGGTAAGAAAATACTATCGCTTTGGTAACATTATATTCAAAAGGTAGTGGCCCCCCAACCACACACAAAAAGTTACTGAGTCCATACCTTAAGGCAACAGAAATCTTAAATATTTTATTTAAAACATGCTTTAGCAACTGGTTGTACTCAATAAGTGTGTACTGAAGTGAAATATAAAACAGATGTCCTACTAATTACTAGGGAGGAAATCAGTACAGTAATCCTATTGTAGTACATATTCCATTACTTTATTGTCATTTTGGAAAAGATATTTGTAAGGCCTTTAGAATTCATTAATCTAAAAGGCTTAGTTATTTACATTTTACTCAAGTAAATGACTTTTACAGTTTTAATAACAAAGCTAGTTCTCTCTACATGAATGATCTCCCACCTCTCCAACTTAGGTTGCCAAAGGGATTTGGTAGGGCATTAAATAGTTCAGTTTCACAACTAAAACAAAATAACTTCTAATGATAACAAAGAAATCACTTTAGAGGTAGGAAACATCTTTAGAGAATTTTACATTTGATTTTGGGAGTATTTTTACTTAACTTTCTTAGTCTTAAGGAGATTAGTGTGTGACAACAGAAAGCGGGAGGCAGGGAGAGGAAGCACCTAAAAAGGATCTAAAACAACCTGAGGGATTAGATGTTGGGCGGGGAAATGAAGGCAAATTTTAACTTTAAAAAAAGCCTGGAAATGTTGATTAGACAAGGGCTTCAAGATCTGTAAGAACTCTAAAACAGAAATGGAAGCATTACATTTAGATCAGATGCCAAGGAGGAAATGTTTGAGTGCTTCAGGTCAACAAGAAAAATTTTACCATTCTAGAAAGGTTAACATATTACTCCAGTAAACTATAGTTCACTGCTTGCCCTCATTTTTCCATTAAATTATTTCCTATAAGTAAAGCTTCATTTAAAAATTTTAGGTAGCTGTTATCTTAAAATTTTCCATTTTGTCTTTTGCCTAGATGTTAAGCAATACCAAATTACAATTTAAATTCAAGTTATAATAAGGGTACACCCTCCGATTTAGATTTTCAGTTGAAACTTGTCAGGGTGTTGACAGTAATACATTTAAAAAAGAAAGAGGGGCGCCTGGCTGGCTCAGTTGGTAGAGC